CGATTGCAGGACAGAGACAGGAGCTTTGAGACAGAAGGGGCGGAGTTACATGTTTGCATGGTTGGATATAAAAACAACTCCAAGACTGTTTTGAGCAATGCTGTAAAGTAGTCAAAAGAGAGAAACGACCGATTTAGAAAAATTAGTGTCCTTTAAGGATGTTTTGTGTCAGGTAAAATGGTTAAAAAATAAACACAAAAAATAAACACAAAAACTGCAAGGCTGAGCGAACAGTATTTTAATAAACTGCACTAGTGACGGCACAACCTGTACATAACTTGAAGTTCATGTTTGCTAAAAGGTTTTTGTGGCTTTCCTTTGTAGATGGACATGCTTCATACATTTTGAGGATCTTCTCTTGAAAACCGAAGGGATTTCTTAACACAACCAAACTGGACAGTGTCAAAATGCCCCTGAAGACATCCATGTACAGAAAGCCCTCCTCCACTCGCTGGTCCAGCAGGAGGCGCAGGGATATGTTGTCAGTCAATATGATCAGTCTTCCACTGGCTGATTTTCGCCATGTCACACACATCGGCAATGACGCCCATGCGGACAGCTTTGGAGACCTGTCCTTTCTTAAGAAGGGCCACAGTCTCCTGTTGCAAAGCTCCCAGAGTGAGCAGAACATTTTCATGGCCTGTTCCCCACCACCAAAGCCACCGCGCCTCAATCTGGACGGATCCGAAGGATCTGAAAGCCCTGAATGGGGTTCGCAGAAAAGAAAAAAGTGCAGCTCAATGCCTCTACTTGATAGTGATGACGGAGAAATGGAAACAGAGCCGGGTTTCCCGAGAGAAAACCATGTCTTAAATCAGAATACCAGCCTCAAGCAGCATAACATACATTTAGACGCTCAGGGGGATCATTTAGACAATAATTCAACTACATCAAAGGATGAAGATAGTGGATTTTCCTTTAGCCTCGACTTGGGCCCCTCCATCTTGGATGATGTACTACAAGTGATGAACAAATGTCAGAACTAACAAACAAGGAACAGTACAACAGAATAACAATGCTTCAGTGAATCCAGCAGTCTAAAGAGCGAACCAAAGTATGGATCTTTTAAACTAGTGTGTGCAACATTAAGTTAAGGAAATGTACCTCCTCACGTCACATTCCATGTTTGCACATTCTACCTCATTTTACTTTGTCGTAATAACCTCAACCACACCATACAGCACCAAGAATGGCTATTCAGACTTAAAAGTTCTTGGTGTTTAAAGAGAAAAAGCTGTGGCTACAACCCAAGGTCCTCAAGCTGTGATGTCTTGGCTGTTGGCGTGCTTGCCAGTCTATTGTGTGCACAGGGCAATTTATACTCTGCACGCATCCCAGAGGCCCTGCTCTTAGGTAGACCAAGGTACCCCCCATCTCCTATTCCCAACAATGCCGTAAAAACAAACACTTAGCTCTGCTTTTAATAAAAGCCAGGCTATAGTGGCAGATTGGGCTGCAGACAAAGCCAGGCCACAAGTCCAAGACCTCAAATCCAAAAAAAGTCAAAGCAGGCTGTTTTCTTAGCTGCAAATCAGAGTCCAATGTTCTAGTGATGGAGCACGAGAAGCAGTGGTGAGGAGTAATGTGATACTTCCATACATATGTACATACATATACTTATGTAAGGGGTGTCACGAGTGGAGAGACACATTTCAGAAGCCAAATGCATATTTAAACTTTACCGTCTGACTCAAAACATGCAACACATGAAGCAAATGCATTGGCACACAAGGCTAGAGCAGCTGCGTGCAACTGTGATTAAGTTCAAGTCCACAATACACTACATCTGAGATTATCTGTGTAACATCCATTTTTCTAACTGCAGGGGTTAGATGAGAACTTAACAGCACTATTGGGAGCATATCAAGAAAGCCATTCATCTTTTTGATCTCATGAAATACAAAGAATAAATGTGACCGGTTTTAAATAAATATTTTACAACATGAGGGTTTCTGGTAAAGTGTGTGGTGAAATAAAGTTCAATCCTTGTGTATGGTTATTAGACTTAAACTATTACACTTACAATCAAAGCCACTGTAGAAACAAGACCTAACCATTTCAATGCCACGTTCACCAAGCATTATACCATTTAAAAATGTTTAAAAAGACAAAACAATAGTCCCATTTTAGAGCAGCAATTTTAAATCAACGGACACAACTTGGATTTCTTATTTTCTTTTGGACACGGCAAGTCCTTGGCTGAACGACTCCTAGCCACATAAGTGAGTGCGAAAACTGTCTGGATTTACATTTGATAATTTTTCAGCCAAATAACTGATGCAAGAACAAAGAGCCTATAATTGGGGACAAATTATCTTGTCAACACATAAAGTGACCAAGCTGTGAAATACCCCTATCACATCTGGTATCGCTTGTCTCCAGCATAAAGAAATAAACGCGCCTTCACAAAGATTACAGAAATATTCTGTCAACTTCAACAAAAGGTAGCAGTTATAGCGTCATTTACTTGTCAAAAACAATATCAAACAGAGCGTTTATCTTGATCCTTTAATTAGATCTTGTTATTGATCCTTAAGAAATGCTTCCACCCCTGCATCGCTACAGCGGTGGAATGACCATTTACAGTACATCTCTCCAAAGCGTAGGTGCAAGTATTTCTCTGGCACTAGCAAACCACAAGGCTGAAAAAATGATCCAATAATATTTGCATCTGTGTTGTGCCGTGACAAGCCTCCTGAGAGCTCCACATATAAATGGGAGGCACAGCAGGGGTCTAAATTCTTTATGTTGTGCAGGCTGTAAAGCTTTACACACTTCTACAATGCACCGTAAATCATGACACAGTGATTGATGATCAAGAGGAGCACATAAACCACATTGTTAATATATTTGTGTCCAAAGAGGAGAAAAATTAAAGATGGAGTACCCGACTTTGAAACCACAACAAATTTACTCCCAAATAAATCCCTCCACGAGTCTATCACTGGTTTTCATGTCGAGGCAAAAAGGAAAACCTGATGTGTAAACTGGGTGTTGAAACAGGAATTATGTCTTATCAATTAAGCTACAGGTGAAACTCGGAAAAACAGATCTCTCAGGTTTGAAAATGTGTCAAAAAAGGTATATTTTTCCAATTACTAACATCAAGATGATTCATTACTGGTAGTACATGTTCAAGAAGAAGTAAACTTCTACTATTTGTATGACTAATAAATATCTGGCTTTTCAAAACACTTCTTGTTAAAGAGCCTTTCAAATATTGTTCTAATGCCACTTGTTTTTGAAAAAGGAATTATTCAGAAGTACTGGTGAAACTAGGAAAATAATAATGTTGAGCAAGTTTATTTCTGTAATTCAACTTAAAATGTGAAACCAGTCATTACAAGCAAAGTGCCAAATGCAAAGCCTACCACCTTCACTCAGCCAATCAGCTCTCAGTTTATAAAATATAAAATCACTTTTTCTTTTGGGACAAACACAATATTAATGTTTCAAACACAAAGTTAGGTACTCCACTAACGCCAGCATGTCTGGCATAAGACATTTTTAATCTTTTCCTGTGGAAATGATGATATTTGTTTATTTTATACTTGTAAAGAATAAAAAATGATCCAACAAGAGTCTGGATTTGTGTTTTTTTTCTTTTTTATCTCCATAGATGAATTTAGTTGTATTTGTTTTGATGGTCAATACCTCAAGAAGATTGCCTGGACCACCACGGCTGTTTGGACTCACTCTATCTTCATCTCCAACACCCCTCAAGGCCAGATAAATAGATATTTCAATTATGTCATGTGGGTCCACTTAAGCAAGAAGCAAAGTCACAGAAGGCTAATGTAAAAATATGTGGTGTTCAATGTGCTGTCCTTCTCAGGTGTAGGGCAAAAAAACACTGAAGCAATCAACTTTTGTAAAGGGGGGTTACCATAATAACATTAAAAGAGATTAGAGTGACAAGTCCCAGTGTGCGGTCTCAGGCTGACGTAGGGGCTGAGAAACCGAGCTGGAAGGTGAAACACAGTTCAGGAAACAAATACTAGAATTCAGAAGGGACTTTGGAAAACCAGCTTACTCCCACACAACTTTTTAATGTCCTGAAGAACACCTACTAATTTAGACAAACTCGTACCGGTAAGTAGAGGATATCAACAGCAGATCTAGTGAAAACAGAGAACCTGATATGTATACGGTGTGTCAAAACAGGAAACTTGTCCAATCAAGTAAAGCATAAGACTACTGTGATTTCAAAACCACAGAAAGAGGATTTAAGGCAGCAGGGAGTAGCGGTTCAGAATATTTAAAATGGACAAAAGTGACTTCACATGAATGATGGAAGAGGTATGGTCCCTGATTGCAGGAGATGAGTGAGGACTGCCGTTCCTCTGTGGCACACTGCTACAGCATTCCCGCTATCTGGAGGATCAGCTAATGAGAGGAGCAGGGGTGGCTGTGGGCCATTGCCCCCAACAGAAATAAACTCAGGCCCATTACACCAAACACATTGTTTCAGGCCAGACCAGAATGGAGTGTGTGCAACGGGAAATGGCTGACACTAAATAAACGACATATCTCTGGCTTACTCGGCCGTAACTAACTTTTTCTCTGTATTATCCTTCTTGGTTTAGATTAGTGTGACTCATGAAAGCACCTTAGCTATAATCTAAGGTCATCCGTTAATCACAAATAATTGATTATTAAAATAGTTAATAATTATTATGTAATGGATTATTTTTTATTGGACCTTACATGGACTTAGATATGCTGAGAAATGGTTTTATGACTTCATATTATAATTCTATAATGACTGCAGAAGTTGTTTTAGTCAAATGATTCACATTTATTTGCCATTTGCAGTAAGACCACATTTAAACATGTGTGAGTGTGTGCTCATACCTATGTGTTATACTAGCGGTTATATGATGTTGTAAGAGTTTACATGTGGCGCATGTAAGTGTAATAAATAAATACATCTTTGAGGGGTTGATTATATGAATACCACTCGTATCATTTAGTGTTAGATGCAAGAATAAGTACCATACCTGTGTTGACATAAACTGGTCCATCTGAGGAGCAGGCACTGGTTCTCCTTCAAGCCATGAGATCTTCACTGGGTTTTCACTCAGGCCACCCTCGTTCTTCACTGCCAGCTCCTAAAACCAAAATGATCTAGTTAAAACGTCATCATGCCATTGTTTTTCAGGAACCGTCTCATGTCTGCAGTGTAGAGGCCACACATGCTACGCAGAACAGTAAAACCATTAAACAAACACATATTTTAAACTATTTTACAGCCTTCATCATAATAGGTTTTAAATATTGGGTGAATAAACGCATACTATCAAAAGGATCTTGGACAAACACAATTGAATGCTGCCATCGCACTCAATTATTTGCTGAATGGTTACATTTCATATATGTTATGATTTAATGACACTGTAGATACTCTGATGGAGACAAGCATAAGCACTAAAACTATGCAACGCTGTATTTCTGATTAGGTTTTTGATCAGCTAACCCGCAAAAATCTGATTGTTTATAAAGAGAGAAAATGAGTGGCCACTTACCGCCGCTCTAACTGACGCAAATTCAGCCACAGCACTTCCGTTCTTCTTACTCGACATGATGAGATTCAAGACATCACCGTACTGGGATAAAGAAAAATCAATATACAAAAGGCTGTTATGCTGTTGTGGTTTCTGTTGCCTAACCCCTGGGGGTCCACAATGATTTTCAAAATTTTGCAAACATTGCTACTGTAGGTAGAGGTAAAATGGAGTTACAATAGCAGGAGATACATTGAACCCAGGGCACAAATATTATTATCATCATCAGTATCAGTATGTTTATTGCTATTAAGTCAAGTAGGGGAGGCAAGTGTTTCTTCCCTTTTCGTCCAATTTTGGTTCAGTTCAAAGTTGGTCAACATGCCTTCATATGAAAAAAGATTATCGATTCATCCATCCAGCATCAGGACAGAAAGGGGAAAAATATCTTCTCAATACTGCTCCAAACACTGGAATTTCTTACAAAACTAAAACTATTGAACTTCCAAATCTTGTACATTAGAATCCTCGTGAAACCCTGGAAATGCAATCGATGAATAATAAACTGAAACGTTTTTTGTGTGTTTTTTTAACAGAACTTAATGTATTGAAAGTACTATATAGTTTGAGGATTGTATTGGGAATGCCTCTGGTCCAGGACATCCTTGGAAAAGAGATCTTTGAATCTCAAAAGGGATTTTCCGGGTTAAACAATGGTCAAAAATGTTAAAAATGCTTGAATAATTTGATTGACACAAATTGAGAGGAATAAGGCTTTCTTTTTAGCCTAATTGTTCCCTTTAATTAGCTAGTTGACAAAAAAGTAATGCATGATAAAAATGAAAATACATTATGCTTGAGGATATCTTTCGCAAGAAGCAGAGATCCAACTTAAGATTCTGTTTGTCTGAAAGTGCAGTTGGCAGTGAACAGGAAATTCCCCAAATGCAAAAACATAGAGCAGGCCAACAGTGACAAAGGAGACTCCCAAAAGGACTCAGTTTCAAAATATTTAAACATCCCGTCATGTATTTTAAGATCCCGACATACATATAAAATGTCACTCATCGTTGCTTGCCAAATGAAAGCGTTTGCCTCAAATTTGCCTTTCTCATTGCTACATATAATTCGATTTAGAGCAGTGATGTCAAACGCAGACAATGAGGAACGATCTGGAATAAGTATAAAACAAGACAAAGCCCTGCGGCGCGTGCTTTATCTTCAAATTATTTCATTATTTAAATAGTTTTCAACAAATTGAGTAAATGGTTTATTGCTTTTTGATCCTAGCACAGATTTAAACATGCAGAGAAAAGGCAAAGGAAGGTTTCTCACCCAAACATGCAGAGAAAAGGTTTTATGGATGATAAAACACGGTGGCTGAGTGGATAGCACTCTCGCCTCTCAGCAAGAAGGTCCTGGGTTCGAATCCCGGTCGGACCAGGGCCTTTCTGAGTGGAGTTTACATGTTCTCCCCGTGTCTGCGTAGGTTTCCTCCGGGTACTCCGGTTTCCCCTACCACTAAAAATATGTCCAATAGTTCTAGCATGCGCCTCCTGTACTGGCGACCCCGCTCCCATCTCTGTGTGGAGTGAGAGACAATTGCCCAAAATTAACAATTGTAAACCGCTTTGAGACTCAGCTCTGCAGTGAAAAGGCGGTATATAAATAAAAGCTTACTTACTACTTACTTACTGCGGAACAAAATTAAAATGTGTCCCTTTTCAATGTTTTATGGATCTTTGGAGAAATAGAATGTTGAGATAATTGTAAATGTATTTTTTCTTAGAGCAAAACATTTTAGAACCTTGTAAAGTACCATACACTGTACTTAAACATTTAAATATATTGGGCCCTCACAATATGCAATTTAGAAGAATCGAGCAGAGAAAAGGAAAAGCATCAAAAAAGGTGGGGACAAATGGAAAGAAACTATCAATCTTAGATCTTGTTGGTGCGATTGTGATTTTGTTTTTTTACTCTTTTTGTTTAACTTTTTGTTTGGTCTTTGCTTCATGTTTTTGTTTTGCTTATGTCTCGCTCTTTAAAGTGTGTTTTTGTCTGCCTTGATTGTCATTAATCATAAAAAAAATGTGTGTTTTTGTCTGCCTTGATTGTCATTCATCATAAAAAAAATGTGTGTATTTGTCTGCCTTGATTGTCATTCATCATAAAAAATAAAAAATAAAGCACATTATCAAAAGTATTTTTACTTTAAGATGTTCTCCAGGGGCATAACTCGAACTAGAGGAACATCGACATCTGGAGCTGTGCCGTGGGATAGACTCCAGTTAAAATATTTCTTTGAATGTTTTTCTTTTTATCTTATCTTTTGGAGTTGCATAGAATTGTGTGGGTCTCTTAGAATGTTCTTTTCTCACGCTGACATACCTTTTGAAGAAGCCTCATCAGTAGATCCTGAGAGTAGCCCCCGTTCGTCTCATCGTCTTTTTTACACTTCCACTTGAGCTGGAGAGGACAGAAAAGTAGATGTCTTTAGACTCATCATTAAAAGAATTATCCAAATATAGCATGTAATTAGCACACGTCTCAAACTTGCATGCACAACAACACAAACTATGGCTGCTTTCCTCTGGAATATCTTTTCATTCATTGTAAACCATATTACTCCCCGCGCGAAATTGTTTCATTCATTCTTGCCTCTGTTTACATACCGCCATGCGCGGACGCGCGCGAGGCTCAGCGCGCACTCGCAGAGCAAGTACTGTGTATGGAACGCTTATACCCGGACTCTCTGATTATTATCCTGGGGGATTTTAATAAGGGAAACTTGAGCCAGGAATTACCCAAATACAGACAGTTTATCAAATGCCCGACCAGAGAGGAGAACACTCTGGATCACTGTTACACCACCGTGCGCGGAGCTTTTCGCGCTGTTCCCAAGCCAGCCCTCGGCTTCTCAGATCACTCCATGATACATCTGGTTCCTGCTTACAGACAGAGACTAAAGCTCTTGAAACCTGCAATGAGGAGCTCCAAAGTGTGGTCTGATGAAGCTGTGGAAGAGCTGCGCGCGTGCATGGAATCTACAGACTGGGACCTTTTCAGAGCTGCCACAGATAGTTTGGATGAATATACGGACACTGTGACGTCATACATTCACTTCTGTGAGGATAGCATCATTCCAACAAGGACCAGGGTCATCTATAACAACGACAAACCCTGGTTCACTGCTAAACTCCGGCAGCTCAGGAAAGCAAAGGAGTCTGCTTTCAGGGAGGGGGATCGCAGCGGCTACAAAGCAGCTAAATATCAGTTCAGGAGAGAACTGAAAGCAGCCAAGTCCCGGCACAGAGAACGACTACAGGAGCAGATTGGTAACAACGATACTGCTTCTGTCTGGAGGGGCCTACGGGAGATCACCAACTACAAACCCAAAGCCCCCCCCTGTGCTGACGACCACAAGCTAGCTGACGATCTGAACTTATTTTTCAGTCGCTTTGATGCTGCCCCTGACACCTCTCCCTCCCCCACCCCCCACTACTCTAACGACCCACCCATCAGCCCTGCCCCCAGCCTAACAATAGCCGCTAAAGAGATTAAACAACTCTTCCTGAGGCTGCACCCCCGCAAAGCTCCTGGCCCGGACCACGTGTCTCCGGCCACTCTGAGACACTGCGCCAGTGAGCTTACTCCTGTGTTCACGGACATTTTCAACACCTCTCTGCAGTCCTGCCATGTCCCGGCCTGCTTCAAATCCTCCATCATTGTCCCCGTCCCGAAGAAGCCCAGGATCACAGGACTCAATGACTACAGACCTGTAGCACTTACGTCTGTCGTCATGAAGTCATTTGAACGCCTGGTTCTCTCCCATCTCAAGTCCTTCACCTCCCCCCTCCTGGACCCCCTGCAGTTCGCCTACAGAGCCAACAGATCTGTAGACGACGCCATTAACCTGGCCCTCCACCACATCCTACAGCACCTGGACTCCCCGGGGACCTACGCCAGGGTCCTGTTCGTGGACTTCAGCTCTGCCTTCAACACAATCCTGCCATCCCTGCTCCAGGACAAGCTCTCCCAGCTCAACGTGCCCGATTCCACCTGCAGGTGGATCACTGACTTCCTGACGGACAGGAAGCAGCGAGTGCGTCTGGGGAAGAATGTCTCGGACTCTCGGATTATAAATACAGGAGCCCCACAGGGCTGTGTTCTTTCTCCCCTGCTCTTCTCCCTGTACACCAACCACTGCACCTCCAGCCACGACTCCGTGAAGCTGATCAAGTTCGCGGACGACACCACCCTCATTGGACTCATCTCCAACAACGATGAGTCCGCCTACAGGAGGGAGGTGGACCGGCTGGTGTCCTGGTGCAGTGGTAACAACCTGGAGCTGAACGCCCAGAAGACAGTGGAGATGATTGTGGACTTCAGGAAGAGCACTATCCCCCCACCCCCACCCTCCGTGATGGACTCCCCCATCACCTCTGTGGAGTCCTTCCGTTTCCTGGGCACCACCATCACCCAGGACCTCAAGTGGGAGCCGACCATCAGCTCCCTCATCAAGAAGGCCCAGCAGAGGATGTACTTCCTGCGGCAGCTCAGGAAAGCCAAGCTGCCTGCACAGATGTTGGTGCAGTTCTACACGGCCATCATCGAGTCCATCCTCACCTCCTCCATCACCGTGTGGTTCGCTGGAGCCACAGTCAGGGACAAACAGAGACTACAGCGCATTGTGCGCTCTGCAGAGGAAGTGATCGGCCGCAGCCTTCCATCGCTGCAGGACCTGTACGTCGCCCGAGCTCGAGGCCGGGCTGGTCGTATCACAGCCGACCCCTCTCACCCTGCACATGGACTATTCCAACCACTCCCCTCAGGCAGGAGGCTGCGGTCCATCAGGACTAGAACCTCCCGCCACAAGAACAGTTTCTTCCCCTCTGCTGTTGGACTCTTGAACACTTCTTAACCTGTCCCCCCGCCCTTTATAAAGTCACTTTACTGCCCATCATACGTCACTTTACTTCACTGTACTGCTGTCACCTTACATTGTGTGCACCATGTGCACTTGTATATTGTAAATAGTAACTGTAACTCTATTTTAAATTTAAATTTATTCTTTAGAAGTGTTTTTTATTCTTATTTTTATTATCTCTTTTTGACTGTTGCACTGAGCCAAAGCAATTTCCAAGTCTGTGACCTCCTGTTACTTACGTGGCAATAAAAATGATTCTGATTCTGATTACCCTTATGCATAGTAGTGACAATACAAATCACAATCAATCTGAAAATGTCGATAGCCTACCTTTAGTTTTGGAGTGACTTGGGAACATCTGACGACTCCTGATTCAGAAAAACAGAAATAAATATGTGATTTTAATATTAAGTGATCCTAGGAATCCTATGGCCAATTAATATCCATGCAAAAGTGGAGAGAATATTGCACATTTTATTTAATTTTTTTTAGCAACAGGGTTCACGATCACCAAATATTGCTTCACTATGCTCATCCAATGTTTTTTAATGAATTTATAAATGAACAAAAACGCTGTTTCTACTGGGATTACCCTGCTCTATTGTACTCTCAGTGGCATAAAATAGTTTCAATTTTATCGTTTATTATTGCAATAATTTACAAAAGCTATATATAGTCCGTCAAAATAGGTTTTTGTGAGTATTTGTGAGCATGTTTGTTATTGTTGCTTTGAGAAGGTGAAAATCCTGTCTCCACAGTTTTGGCTCCATGTTGCCCCAGCACTGTGTGGACTCACCCGACTGTGGATTCAGAGCATCTCTTTCCTTCTGAATTTGTTCTCTGATAAGCCTTTGTTCCTCCTCCAATTGCCTGGAACCCTCTTCTCTCAAACGGGCAATCTGGGGAAAAATATAGATACCGGGAAATATCAGACACCTTTCCCCAAAAACACTTTCACCATGTGTCGTAGCTGAAGCAAAAGCGGCTAAAGAATTAGCGCCACCCACTGGTTACTGATGGACATGAATACACTTGCTTTTTTACCTCTTCCTCAAGCGTCCTGGTCATCTGCACTTCATCTTGCCTGTTGTCTTCAGCTTGTTGCTCTCTTGCCTCCAAGTCTAAAAGCAGTGAGAATGGCAACGTGTTCATTTTCAAATAGATTTTTGCTCTTATTATTTAAAGTCATTAATTAAAATAATGTAAAACTCACCAAGTTTAATTTTCTTCCTCTTATCATCAAGTTTCCGAGTTCTTTCCTCCGCTCGTTTTTTTGCAGCACGGATTTTATCATATGCAGCCTGATAAAAGAATTAGGTACAGGTTAAAACTGAATAACAACAAACAGGAATTATTCATAGCTTACCCTGGCAGCAGCATCAGTCAAAACCTCGAGAGCCTCAGACAACTGGTGGAAGAGTTCCACTGAATAAAGGACATACACACAACATGGTATAATACAAACTGCTTGTTCATATTGTGTCCAAAACATTTTCCACACAAGCTTATCCATCTCTCAGCCGTGTCCTGTGTGTGCACATCAAGAGGCTTCAGTTGTCATTGTCCACACACGCACACATCCTGGCGATGAGCCCACACTATACCGCTCTCCATCACAGAGCCACCACATTATTTTGCTGCAGCTCGGCCTAATCATTCACTTATGGGGGGCCTTGCACACAGATAGAGTTTCTCCCAAAGAGACTGGCGGTGCACAGCAGCTCTCACTGCCAGCAGCTGCACTCACGTTACCTCTATGCCATTGTTCCTCTAAATGAAATCAGAAAAAAGTGCAAAGACTGGAGGACATACCGGCACCTGGACCCTTCACCTCAGGGGGCATGAGGGGGAGCAGTCTGGTCACCCGTACATGACCTCTCCATGCACACCGCCTCCTATAGGAGCTCAGGAGTGCTGTGCTCTCGTGCCATAGACTCAAGAGTATGTTTGTCCATGTGCTGGTTCAACAATTGAGGCCCTTCTACCACTTATTTTACATTTCTGGGAAACAGACCCCCTGCTTTTGTTTTATCCCTCTCAAGCCCTCAAACCAACCAATATCCGTCTTTTTAAATAAAGGAATTCTCCGAGGCATGTAAGAACCACAAAACCTTACTAGAAACATACTTTATCACAACAGCTTTATTTTAAGGCAATTTTTGTTTTCTTTCTTTTTTGATAGACAAAAGACCTTCTGATGAACCTAAATCTGGGGCTGAACTACAGCATATATAGTATTTGTGTAATGATAATGATCACTATACCATTCCCAAACACCATCATCCTACTAGTCCCACAAATGTATTATTTGAAAAAAGACACTTTCAATGATTCATGTGCAGACTGTACATGCTCACTGACAGATCTGAAGTGAGAAAGTTTACATACCTGCTTTTGGGTTGTCTGGGTTCTTGTCTGGATGGCATGTCAGGGCCTTCTGTCTGTATGCTTTCTTAAGCTAAAAAAGATAAAGTACACAAATGTCAGAAATGAACAAAAACAACTTGATAAATTAATTCTCATACAGGCCTTTTATTTAATCTGGCACAAATATACAGAGGTGAAATGTGGATGTAATTGAGTTCAAAGTTGACTTTGTAATGTTTGGATTAAATATCCACTGTATTGTGTCTTTATGACATGTTATTACAGTTAACGCTAAATTACTCTTTCAACAATATCAAACTATTCAGGGGCTGCATGCCAGTTTGGAGAGAAAATGTTTGAGATTTTTGGAAATGAAACACCATTTTCTTTTTCAAAGCAAAGAACATTCTGTAATGTTTAATACGTATAAGATTTGGACAGTGTTCTGTAAAATGACAATGTCTATGCCTAGGGGTACATATAGTACATGGTAAGGTGTTTTCTATTAGACCTCCACTGGCCAAGGGCAGGAAGTTAGTCAATTTACCGTGACGACAAATGGGGCCATCACACAAATCGTCCAAAATACACTCATGTGCGTGGCACGCTAGAGCCCGACCTCATAAATCATTCTCGCTGGGCCACTCCAGGCTGAAGGAGCTCCCTCCTTATCAGGGGTATGCTCGAACACTAGTACATCACCTCAGTCTCAATGCATTTTTTTATTTTATTGCATTAATTTGTGTGAAAACACAAAAGCCCCATTTTCTTATCCTGTAACCAACAATAAATGAATGTGTGGTTCATGGAGAGAGCATTGCACAGACTAGACATCATTAGGAATATTTAGTCTTGGTGCTCTGCACGCAGAGTGGAGTCTGACATGCAGCATGTGGACATACGCCAGACAGGACTGAAGAATCCAGAACCAATTACTAATTGACATCTGAAGATTCCATTGTATTGAGTTGCTTTTATTCTTTCATAATCCAAAAATAAAACAAATCAATGGTGTATTCCCGTCTCCCAGTATTTCCCCAATGTTAAGTCATTTTAAATCTGAATCGTATTCAGATCATACTGTATTTGATCTCTGTAATGCTTTTTGAAAGCACATTTGTTTGAATCCTGTGTTCAATTATGTGATCAATGATGCAGTTATACTGTTTCTTCCGGTTACAATTAGTTCCACTGAAATGTAGCATGTATGAATCTATTGTTATAAAGCGCCTCAGACATTTTGTATTCTCCTATGAAAAGCATTCTTTTACTTGTCATGTCCTTCATCACCTACTGCAGAAAAGACACACGTACTGTACGTCACTACAACCATTTTACACTAATGCTCCCTCCTCTGTTAGCTTTTGATAAGTGAAATCCTCCCTCCTCTGTTAGCCTTTGAAAAGTGAAATAAAGTGATGAGGTGCTTATTATTTTTATTTCTATATTTTTCTCTTTCCACTAATTCCTAAAATACAATAGTAATAGTAATGAGCTGATGCCATCTCACACAACGCTGCCTGTGGTAGGTAAAACAGTTACACAATAATGCGTGAGCAGCATAATTAAATGAGGTAGCCTTGAGTAAAGCCTCAAATATCCAGTATTGTTAAAACACAGACCTCATGGCATTTTCACCTTACAATTATGGTTCAAGAGAACATAAATATTGGAACTGGCAAATGTCATGCCACTACTGAACCAGTGAGAATATTAAAGTTGGAGCATCTTTCCCAACATGAAGCACCAGATCCAGCAGCAATCCAGAAAATCTTTAAGCATGTTTGCGGTACGTCTGAAAAGTTTATGGACAGTTTAACTGAAGAGTTTCTGCCACTGACTTCCAACACTGTACTAGTCGAATGTGGAATTGAATGTATTGATTACAGTAGAGCAGCACAGCACCACGTACATTCCATGTGGTGAGCTGTGATGCTGCATGTGTTTCCAGATTATACATAATCTATCATAATCTAAATGTATGTGCATAATTTAAACAATGAAAAATAATAATAATAATTAATTGGTTATCATTATCTTCTTTATACAGCACTTTGTTGGACACTCAAAGACGTTTCACATGTCATGATTCTTTTGCTCCATACATAATGGTGATAAACTACTTAAGATACCTACAGCTGCTAGGATGTGCCATCGGCCCCTCCAACCACCACCAATCATTTAGTTACACGCACCAGACTCATTCTGGGCAATGTGGGTGAAGTGTTTTGCCTAAGGCACAACAACAGTTTGGCACTTTACAGCCACCCCAACTGTGGCACCTGGTGTTCCCTGAGGTCTCCCATAAATATAAAAACCTAACCCTGCCCAGCTTAGCTTCAGAGGTCTGACGGGTTCTTGTTTTAGCAAGCCTTCCATCCATCCAATTTCTTCCCCTTAATCCATTTCTGTGTCGGGAGGGCTTGTTTTCAAAAGCAGGTAGCGACAAATAAGCTGTAATTATTTCTTTTGATTATTTTGTAATTTGATTATTTAATTTGCATAAGGTTTGAAATAAAATTCTTACTACGAAACAGACAGCTCAAAAGATTTACATACCACTAATCAACGACTCCATCTAGTGGTTGGGAAGGAACATTACATTTAATAACTACAACACAAAACAATAAATCTATACGCTTGGCCTCGCAGGAGATATATAACGTGCACAGTGGAACAGATCACAGTGAAAAACACAGATAAGAAAAACTAAGATAACATAGTGATACATCCATGGCTGTAAGCAGCTCAAAACAGCCATGTTTAACAGTTTCATATCATCTATAAGAGTCATTATCAATGGTCCATCGTTTTAAGTTAAGTGTTCCAGCTGAGTGTATAAATAAAAAATGCAAAGATGACAAAATAGATTTGTCAGATTTTTCCCCACTTCTGGCAACAGCTAAGCTAATGCTAATGCTAGCTGTAGCCTGCACAGTCTGGTGCACAAACCTCTTTAGATGTCGCTGTGCTCTCTACTCCCAGTAAACCGTACAGGTCCATTTGCAGGAGCTCCTTCGTTTTTCCGGACATGACTGCAGAGGGAAAAGTCTCTTGAATATCTCACACGATAGTTTCAACTATTTTATATCAGCGGCAAAAGGTTTGTTGATGTTTAAAAGACGCGTGTGTTTGACGTATTTCACTTTTGAACTTTGTGTCGCATTGTACTCTGGGAAATGTAGTTCTAGAAGTCTATGAGACCATTTACAGCATGAATAGATTTACTCAACCTCATAGATTTGCTGTCGCTAATTATTGTAGTCCATCACAGATTACGTATACCCAACGTTGAACAAGAGATAATTAGTTCCAAACTATAATAATAATATCTACAATAAATCAAAATAGAAAGAAACAGACACTGGTTACTAGAAATAACAAGAATTATTCCAGATATGGATTAAGGGGAAGAAAATGGATGGATGGATGGATGCATTAACAAAAGTGAGATCAGTGAACTGCTCCCAGAAAACATCACGTTTTATCAAAAATATAAATGGTGTGGGGTTTTGGGGTTCTCCTGGAAACTTTTGAACAAATGATTTAATTCCTGTATTCAGTTGCATGTTAAGTGGAATAATTATACCAATCCAATATTGATTTTTGTCAGATAAAACAGAAAGTACACTATAAAAAACAGATACAATTGTTTTAACCAACCATGCACATGACCAAACATTTTGTTAAAATTACCAATATAAAAATGCTATTATCATGTTAAAAAATCTCAAATTATTATGAAAATCACACACGCACACCTGGTCCTGCTTAGTTCCTGCTCCTACGGTCTGCCAGGATCAGGTTTTCAAATGCAGCTGCCGTCACAAGTTAGAGAGAGGACTAGATGTTTCAATCCCTTGTAATTCACCCCAGTGCTGAACTTTGGATTTTAACGAGGGAGGATCCTGTGATGGACCACTCAGTGATGTTACCTCCTCCATCACATCATCAGTTGTGTACGATAGCATTATTGGGGTTTTCAGCCTTTCATCACAAGAAAGCCTCCACAGGGGCAGGCCCACCACAGGCTGATCAGACCTGGGTGTGTGATGCATGGGAACTGAGTGGTTACTTTGCTCCCCATCTTGTCATCTTGTGTCCCTTCTTCTTAGCTTCAGCCAGTAACTGCTTCGCTCTGCTGCTGTGGCTATTAGCTTCCCAGAGGAAGCTAATAATTAGATTTTTGAAAGATGCCTACATCTTTCAACAATATTATGGTGGTATTTGCGACAAAGCCCCTGGAGCCGACTTTCACTGGATCTGGCTTGTCATGGCACTGCACGGTGGTAAAACAAGACTTCTATAAGTCAACTCTCATTTGCAAGTCTCTGGCTGCATCTATAGGACTTGTGACAGCATGAGACTCAAGTGGCCTGTTTCTCACCCTCTATCATAGACACTATTGGATTTTGGGGCCTAGATTGTTTCTACGGTACGGTGGTTTGTGTTTGTAGCAGTCATTGTTTGTTCCACAGCTGAGGCCAGACAACGTAAAACTGTGGTGCCAGGTGTATCTGCCTTTAGACAGGAAAGTCTTACATTGGCTGGGGCTGAGCATTAGGGACATGTCGAGTCCTCTCCAAGCCACAGAGTTAGATTTCTTGGCAAGTGGCTTTAATGTCGAAACTATTGATTTCCATGTTCCACAGCTCGCTCCAGGTGATTTTATTTTTGGCCATGCCCTCCCATTTCATCCACTTTCCTTGCTGTGCTTTGCTAACAGCGTTGGCACACGTGGCCCCTTGGGCCTAGGGGTCATGACCAAAGCCACAGTAGCTCAGTTGGTAGAGCACATCGTTGTGTCCCTGGGCAAGACACTTAACTCCACATTGTCTTCAGCCCCCGCTGAAAGACTATGTCTTCGATGACAGAGAAGCCATCATTCTGTGGACCCACCACCTGCAGGAGGATCAGTGAGGAAGTGGTGCTCTGGGGGCAGCTCTGATTGCCACCCCCCTGCCCCAGAAATTGATTAATAAAGGGGAAGAAGATGACATGACATATTGTCAATTGATGAGAATCAGTTCTAACCAATACTGACCAATATCAGTTCAACTATTTAGATTGGGTTTTCTAACCAATGCGTTTTAGAGTTATAGCCTGCCCTTCAAGTACTCATGTTTCACCAAAAATAAAGGTCTGTCTTGCAGCATATAGAACAGAAAGCTAGAAATGGTATCAAAAAGCACAGTGTTTTGCAACCAACCACCTAAACTGTGGAATCAGCTCCCCATCCACGTCAATCAGGTAAACAGTCTCTACATTGAAGGCCAGGCTGATTATGATGGGGCAGACGTTCCAGGACATAATTTAACAGCATTTAACAACAAATACGGCCATATTTGTCATCTAATGGACCAATAGCTCTATGTTTTATTTTACTGCATTTCCTGTGTTCGAACTGTTTGATTCTCTGATCTGTGTTGGCAAATCAACAACTTTGTAAAGTCTTCCAATAACTGTTGTTATTTAGGGTAGAACAAAAATAAAGGGTATTGAAATTGAATTAAACATTATGAAATACAAATGACAATGTTACATTGAGGGTGGAAATATTGACATTGCAATAAGACCAGACAGTGGCCTTGTCCTGCTCTTACAGCTACTAAGTATTGAGTGGGCCCACCAGCCGCTGGTCAAGCTAACATTAGAAAATACATTTACAGGAAATTTGCCCCCCGGGAACTAAAGACAGGATGAAGCGACCAAACGTGCAATAATTCACTTGACCTTTGTTGATTAAATGTATATTGTTTTAGGGGGGTCAGCATTATTTGCCTTGTTGAATGTGTTATTCATGGAAATGCCTCTTGTACACTGAAAGATGAGACAAGAGCATGTGGTTGAGCTTTTATTTTGAAAGTAACAACAGGATGTCTGCGCTGAGCATTACGCAGGCTTTACAGGATCCATCTCTCCAAATGCTCCTAAGTGACTGAGACTGGAGCGGCTGGAATGCTGGGAGCGAGCTGTCCTCCACAGACCATCCGGACAGACCGCACTGTGCCTCCGCTTCCACCAGCACCAGCTCAACATGCCAAACTAGTGGACAATCACACCTTAATCAGATAAAAGAAAAAGAAAAAGTAAAGAACCACCAAAGGACGCGCGTATATTTATGGATTAAAGCCAGGTAAGCCATCCCTTTCATTATTATCATGAATAATAAACACATGTGTTTTCACGTGAGGAGCAGTCTTTGCATTCCGTCGATTTTCTCCAAAGGATGACTCTGTAACGCAGACTGTAAAGGGGATGGGTCCCGTTATGTTCAAGGGAAGAAAACATTCGGAAGTGTCAGGCGTTAGTTCTAAATGCTTTGTAAGATGTAATGTCATTACATATGTATGCTACAGCAGTACACTGTCCTGGCACTAGTGCCACCGTCCTCCATCCCGCTCCTCGACATCACCGTGGAGGAATGGAGGCTTCAAGTTGTGTTTTGTTGATATTTATTCAGCCTTATACGTTGGCACCTCTGCACTCCGACAGGGAGCAGATGTTTGCATCTGGCCCACAAGGCTCTAAAGACAAATACAAATCAACTCCACAAATATGCAGAGCAGTGGTTCCTCCTCCTTTAAAAAAAAAATCAGATAAAGACATGTAAAGGAAAAGAAATAGAAAAGGGAAAAGCATAGTGGAGTATGTGATTTGGATAGAGTTAACCAATTTTTATTCAATCATATGATATAATGCAGTGTTCCTCGACCTTTTTGAGCCGTGGCACACCACCAGCTGAAATACATACAATAATGAAAATATGCAGCCTTTGTTAACTATGCAAAGCTATTATCACCTAAATGTATTGTATAGATCAAACAAGCACAAAAAAGTCTTTCTCATTTTATTGCAATATTTTATTTTCAAATTTTTTTGACCAACCAGGTGAAATTGGATCATTTCCAAAGGCACACTAAACAACATCTCAAGCATTTCTTTGTGATTCTAAGTTTTGCACAACCTCGGCTTGTGAGATTGTGTTATGAAATAGTGATTAATCATCATATCCTGGCTGTAAAGTTGCAGATGTTGTAGTGTGTGAAGCTGCTGCTGATGCTCGCCTCATATACCTAAGTGTTGATGCAGTACAGGAGGAGTGGGCTGCTGTGGGGGCGGCTGAACCAGAGGACACAAGGTTCGACTTGAATGCTGTGATTCAGCTTGCTTTTAGTGTGGGAGCACTGGCAGACAAGGTCAGCAAATTAAACTGATCATTGAAAAGGTGCTTCAAGAATGCAAATGTATTTCTTAGATTATGCAACGTGTGGTCGAGAGTGTTTCTGAAGGAAGGAAACACCACATGTATTAAAAGTGAAGTCTGAAAGAGGAAGGAGATAACATGCTTTTCACATGCTGTGTTTCCCGATCCAGGGAAGTCATTTCCTTCCTTCTAAATTCCAAAAAAGTTCTCAACCCACTCTTGTGACTCATGGATTTTCTGGCAAGAGGATCATTCTTCCCCTCTCACAGTGTAGTATCCTCACAAGTTTTTCTGACTCCAAAGAAATTGCCAGTCAGTCAGTCATAAAGGCTGGGGGATTCAGCAGTGTTGAATTAGAATGCACTTTCACTTGTTTTGTCCATTGTTATTGGGCTAAGGGAGCGCTCGTCTGAACACAGCTGAGGACTGAGGAGGCCTTTTGTGAATCTCCATTGTGTGGTGGCTGCTGCTGCCACGGTAACAGAAGTAATGCAGTCAGATGTGGCAAATGTCTGTGTAGAAAAGACTTGATTTTAAACCTAGCTGGCTCTCTATTTTGTATGACTAGTTTTTGATCCTCTCCTACCTGTGAAGTCATGCAGAACACCTCCAATTAAGTGTTTTCCTGTAAAAGCCAAACACTATCCCACTTTTCCCTGTTGACACCTCTCTGTAATTCTGCATCTGGCTGTCTACCTTTGCCAACGCTACAATCACCTGACTAGTTTTCAAATGTTGAACAAATATCATTAGACAAGTGCGTTCTTTTTCTCTTCATGTTGACTCAGTAGTTGGTATGTGTTGATACTATGGCTCATATTGGACAAGCAGGAGGAGGGTGTGTCTCTGGTAAAAGAGGAAACTGTACTCTTCTACAGCAGAAAGTGCTCTGGTGGGACCAAAACGTGTATCCAGGTCGGTGTCAAATTTATTTCCATGCACTTACTAGACTCAAAGATAATTTCTTGTTTGTCCACGTCTGACTTTTTTGTTTTGCCTGAGTCCAGTTCTGTGGACATTGGATGAGCTGACAGTAAGTTTTGTCTTTTTAAGCAGGATTAAAATGGAATAAATGGAAGGGACAGCAGTGGCGAGCTGACACTGAGTCATCACCAATGTGCAGACTTGTCATTTCCTATTGTCTTTTTCCTCTCTGTTAATGCCTGTGTTTTGGCTGCTTCCGTTCCTCTGGATAACGATGTGGTCGTAGATTTCAGAATGAGGAAAAAAGAGAGCAGTTGCCATAGTGATTGACAACTCCAAATTTGAGCATGTCTTTCTTTTGCAATTACATGTTTATTGGATGTTTTTAATGGTCTGTTTAGCTTTGGTAAAATGTGCAGTATATTTCCAACCTAATTATTTAAGAAACCTGTTTGCCTTGCTTTTTGTATTGTACCTTTTGTGTTACTTTGGCTATTCGGTGCTCAATAATATATTCTCTTCATGCTTTAAATTGATTAAAAGTGTTATATATTATGTCATATTTATGTATATACTTTTAAAAAATGTTTAAAAATCCACAACTTAATTTTCTGTAGAATAGTGGTCTTGTCATATGCTTTAATCCACTGCCAGATAAGGTGAAACTTAAGTCCATTTATTTCGGTAACTCCATTTTCAAAGTGAAATTGATATATGACAGACTCATTACACGCAAAAGTGGGATATGTCAAGTTTTTTTGTTATTATGTTTAAGGACATTTATGGATATGGACCAATTATTGCAATTCCTGTGTTCAATTGTTTGATTCTCTGATCTGTTTTTGCTAATTAACAACGTTGTAAAGTTCTCTGAAACGACTGCTGTTGTGATTTAGGGTTGTACATACATAAAAGTAATTCAATTGATTATTATTATTGATTATTGGCTCACAGCTTGTTAAATTCAAAAACATCTCAGATAATCTTAGAAAATTAGAATATTTGAATGGATTGTAAGCTACATTCGTCAAAAGTATAAGAAACAAAAGCTTGGCACATGTCACTTTCCATGTAGTTGGTTAAATGACAGAAACAAATCGACTTTTGAACGATATTCTTAAGCTTCTGAGTCTCAACTTGTATATTATAGTCCCACATAGAGGATCTTTGGCATGTGGTGGTCTTGCTTTTGGTAAATTTACATGTAAATTGTAGACAATAAAAACACAAAATATCAGTTAGAAGACTGTGGCACAGAGTATGAGAGTATAAGTACCAGGTCCCTTTGATATTTCTTGAGGCTACTATAAAGGAGAATTTATATCTATTGTACCTGTCTCTGCACCTGAAGGAAGCATCTTGACTTGTGAGTTAGACAGCTGTCTCCGTAAACGCTGTTATCTTATTAACAAATAGTTGTAATCCCTCTCGCTCCCCGGGGCGTTATTTCTTGTCATCATTTCTGTAATTGTCATGTGAAGGCATGTTGCTTGTACAATATCTACAACTGCACAATAATGAATCTTTAAAATTGAGGAAAAAGTTTGCATTGAAGCCTGGCGTGAGTTTTAGGGTGAAGAAAAACAAGCCCTTGCCATAGTAATGAGTAATAGTCCTCCAAACATTGCATTTATTTTATTTTATAGTATTACTTTATTGTACCGGGATAAAGTGCATATTGTGAATATTTCTGTAAAAGAACCAGAATTATCCAAGAGGGATATTTTTTATCTGTGTATAGTCTCCCTAAAGATGATAACATTAAAAAGTCATTACAATAATAAAATGCAGTAAAACACAGAATATAGAAGAGAATAATAAAAACACAGTTCACATACTACAAGAAATTATGTATTATTTCTGCACGACACAGAAAGCTGGACCATTATTTTTTCCCAATTCACGTCTTTCAAATATCCTAATTTAATTTCCTCCTAAGATTTGTCAGAAATTGCCTTACGCAGGAGCTAACATAATTGTGTGCATTTCCTGTGCAGATAACCTAGCCTTAATGTCGGGCAAATCGGATCGTAAAAACAAATGGGCGGCGGTGCGAGGCGGTGTTCAAATGTTGAACAAATATCATTAGACAAGTGCGTTCTTTTTCTCTTCATGTTGACTCAGTAGTTGGTATGTGTTGATACTATGGCTCATATTGGACAAGCAGGAGGAGGGTGTGTCTCTGGTAAAAGAGGAAACTGTACTCTTCTACAGCAGAAAGTGCTCTGGTGGGACCAAAACGTGTATCCAGGTCGGTGTCAAATTTATTTCCATGCACTTACTAGACTCAAAGATAATTTCTTGTTTGTCCACGTCTGACTTTTTTGTTTTGCCTGAGTCCAGTTCTGTGGACATTGGATGAGCTGACAGTAAGTTTTGTCTTTTTAAGCAGGATTAAAATGGAATAAATGGAAGGGACAGCAGTGGCGAGCTGACACTGAGTCATCACCAATGTGCAGACTTGTCATTTCCTATTGTCTTTTTCCTCTCTGTTAATGCCTGTGTTTTGGCTGCTTCCGTTCCTCTGGATAACGATGTGGTCGTAGATTTCAGAATGAGGAAAAAAGAGAGCAGTTGCCATAGTGATTGACAACTCCAAATTTGAGCATGTCTTTCTTTTGCAATTACATGTTTATTGGATGTTTTTAATGGTCTGTTTAGCTTTGGTAAAATGTGCAGTATATTTCCAACCTAATTATTTAAGAAACCTGTTTGCCTTGCTTTTTGTATTGTACCTTTTGTGTTACTTTGGCTATTCGGTGCTCAATAATATATTCTCTTCATGCTTTAAATTGATTAAAAGTGTTATATATTATGTCATATTTATGTATATACTTTTAAAAAATGTTTAAAAATCCACAACTTAATTTTCTGTAGAATAGTGGTCTTGTCATATGCTTTAATCCACTGCCAGATAAGGTGAAACTTAAGTCCATTTATTTCGGTAACTCCATTTTCAAAGTGAAATTGATATATGACAGACTCATTACACGCAAAAGTGGGATATGTCAAGTTTTTTTGTTATTATGTTTAAGGACATTTATGGATATGGACCAATTATTGCAATTCCTGTGTTCAATTGTTTGATTCTCTGATCTGTTTTTGCTAATTAACAACGTTGTAAAGTTCTCTGAAACGACTGCTGTTGTGATTTAGGGTTGTACATACATAAAAGTAATTCAATTGATTATTATTATTGATTATTGGCTCACAGCTTGTTAAATTCAAAAACATCTCAGATAATCTTAGAAAATTAGAATATTTGAATGGATTGTAAGCTACATTCGTCAAAAGTATAAGAAACAAAAGCTTGGCACATGTCACTTTCCATGTAGTTGGTTAAATGACAGAAACAAATCGACTTTTGAACGATATTCTTAAGCTTCTGAGTCTCAACTTGTATATTATAGTCCCACATAGAGGATCTTTGGCATGTGGTGGTCTTGCTTTTGGTAAATTTACATGTAAATTGTAGACAATAAAAACACAAAATATCAGTTAGAAGACTGTGGCACAGAGTATGAGAGTATAAGTACCAGGTCCCTTTGATATTTCTTGAGGCTACTATAAAGGAGAATTTATATCTATTGTACCTGTCTCTGCACCTGAAGGAAGCATCTTGACTTGTGAGTTAGACAGCTGTCTCCGTAAACGCTGTTATCTTATTAACAAATAGTTGTAATCCCTCTCGCTCCCCGGGGCGTTATTTCTTGTCATCATTTCTGTAATTGTCATGTGAAGGCATGTTGCTTGTACAATATCTACAACTGCACAATAATGAATCTTTAAAATTGAGGAAAAAGTTTGCATTGAAGCCTGGCGTGAGTTTTAGGGTGAAGAAAACACAAGCCCTTGCCATAGTAATGAGTAATAGTCCTCCAAACATTGCATTTATTTTATTTTATAGTATTACTTTATTGTACCGGGATAAAGTGCATATTGTGAATATTTCTGTAAAAGAACCAGAATTATCCAAGAGGGATATTTTTTATCTGTGTATAGTCTCCCTAAAGATGATAACATTAAAAAGTCATTACAATAATAAAATGCAGTAAAACACAGAATATAGAAGAGAATAATAAAAACACAGTTCACATACTACAAGAAATTATGTATTATTTCTGCACGACACAGAAAGCTGGACCATTATTTTTTCCCAATTCACGTCTTTCAAATATCCTAATTTAATTTCCTCCTAAGATTTGTCAGAAATTGCCTTACGCAGGAGCTAACATAATTGTGTGCATTTCCTGTGCAGATAACCTAGCCTTAATGTCGGGCAAATCGGATCGTAAAAACAAATGGGCGGCGGTGCGAGGCCGGCTCGGGTCGTCCCAGGACTCGGACGGTCAGCAGGAGGCCAACCTGGAGAGCGCCGACCCCGAGCTGTGCATCCGCCTGCTGCAAGTGCCCACCGTGGTCAACTACTCCGGGCTCAAGCGGCGTCTGGAGGGCAGCGACCAGACATGGATGGTGCAGTTTTTGGAGCTGAGTGGCCTGGACCTGCTGCTGGAGGCCCTGGACCGGCTGTCGGGACGGAGCTGTTCCAGGATCGCGGACGCCCTCCTGCAGCTCACCTGTGTCAGCTGCGTGCGGGCCGTCATGAACTCCTCGGCGGGGATCCACTTCATCATCGAGAACGAAGGCTACATCCGCAAGCTGTCTCAAGGTGAAGCACACACACACACACTCACACACACACACACACGCATGCCAGTCTGAAGGAGCAGGCGAAACCAGTACAACATCTTCAACTTTTGTAGAGCACTTTTTATGTACCATATTTCTCGGGTGTTAGAGCGCACCTGTTTATTTGCTGCAATAGTTACATATAAAAAGATCGCAGTTAAATGCAAGCAAACATTTGATATTTGAAAAAATCGTATTAGTTTGTCCAATGGAATTCAAGCCTAACCTAACCCTTATCTTCATGTTTGCACACACTTCCTGATTTGCCGATATTGATTTAAATCCTTGAGACCCCTTGTTTACTATTCTCCTCCAGCCAATCTTACTGGACGTAGTTATGACGATGGGAGGGACTATTTTAAATATATTATTATCTATCCCACAGTCGTGATATGTCATAGTACCATGGTTCTGTACCATGGGAACAAATATTGGGAAACCAGTACAACCAGTTCTTTTCGGCCTATGGAAGTTGGAACAAGATATAATTAGCAATTTGCCACTGAGAAGAAAAATGCAACAGTGCAAAACATACTGTTCTGTTGGCAATATTTAAAGTTCAAATATTCTCAATTATAGAAATGTATATTTTTGCAAGGGACTTGGCCAAACCATGCTGTCGTCTTGCATCAGGGCCAGATGTCATATGTTAGAATCTTGGAACGTTCTTCTCTGGGACAGTTTTATGGATTGTGTTTGATGTTTAATAAATATCTGTATTGTATCCACTTTAAATAACTGCAGTATTTGCTGTTTTCAAATGTTGTTTACTAAAATTGTACTTCTGTTCCGTTTGCGAATGGCTCATGATTCAGACATATAATTATTGCACATCTTTGCCACATCAATGTTACACTTTCCATTGTTGCGAAAATCCTATCACGTGCAGCCCCGGTTCATACTTATGATTGTGTTTGTACAGAAAATAGTTGGGCAGAGACTGAAGAAATGGCAAAAAAGTGAGATGTCACGGGAGACATTTTGACACTGTATTGCACATTAAAACTTCAGAATGGTGCAATACACATTAGTTAAGAATGATTACAGTTTAGGTGTGTGTTTATATTAAAGCTATTCTGTTATTTTTCTTCCCTTGGATCCCTTGGAATCCGCCACGGCAGCATATTTGGTTGTTTGGCTATTTAAAACTCACTATTTATCTAGACTTCTGGGCCATATCAATACTCCTTTAGGGGCAATGTTCAACCTGAATTGATTAAAAGGAAAGATTCTCAGTTTTTTACTTGAGTTGTGTGAAGAGGGAGACAGTGGACATTTGATCCACACAGGAAACACCGGAAACATGGATTTACACCAATTTATATTCTATATGTTTGTGACACTGTTTAGCCTTGGATACGTCCAACACGATGGTGAAGAAGCAAGTGTTTGAGCTGCTGGCCGCGCTCAGCATGTTCTCAGCGGATGGACATCGTCTGGCTCTGGATGCTCTCGATCATTACAAGGCAAGTCCCTGAAACTGCTTTCAATCATTTCTTTGAATGAGAAATTAGATATAAGAATGACTGTTTGGGCTTTTAACCAAGTTATAACTGTGTTCCCTTATCAAAATCAGACCTAGATTTTGTTTTTAGATCCATCTATAATAATAACATTGTCAGGAAGTTCTGGCACAAACACGTCACTCTGCCCCTTCTGTCTAAAAGCTCCTCTGTCATGCCGCTTTCATCAGAACCAGAAACAGAGATATATCTAATTTTCAAGTGTTCATGAAGCAGCTGGTGACTCACGTTCATACACACACACTCACACACACGCACACACACACACACACTCACACAAATATAGCAACGACAACAAGAAGACAAAAACATGCAGAAATGTAGCTGATTCTCTTTGCTCGTTCATAAGAAACGAAACCTTCACTGCTGTGATAGGAAAAATACAGAAGAAATGTTGTTGTTCCTTATTGTAAAAAAAGTGCTTATACAAATACAATCTTGGTGGCCATAAATTAACTAAATATGTTTATTTTGTAAAGTAAAACCATCAGTGTAAAACACATCCCCTCTCAGTTTGTAACTATTCTCTCATCCAATCACAAGCTAACACAGTGTCACAATGGCGCAAACTCTGGGTCTCTGGGACCATTGACCCGTGTTAGGGTTAGAGGAGTTTTCTGCCTTTTTAAAACTAAGGTATTGCCTATAAAAGTAGTGATAGTTTGGTAATTTCTCAGGTGAAAGGATGATACAATCACATGACCGGGTTTGCAGCTGGTAAATTACCATTTTGGAAAAAAAATAATACACCTCCCCCTGGTGGTTGAAAATCTACTCAAGAGATTTTTTTTTTACATTCTAAAACCAAGCAAATTGTCAAACTTATCATTTTAATGTGTTATGTTCTCAATACCAATTTTGTGTTGAAAAAACGACTTGATTCTCGGTCCCCCAGGGCGTGAAGGTGCAGCAGTACAGGTTCAGTATGATCATGAATGAGCTGCAGGGCACAGATAACGTCCCCTACATGGTCACTCTGCTCAGTGTCATCAACGCCATCATCTTTGGCACCGATGACCTACGGCAAAGAGACCGGATGAGAAAGGAATTTATTGGTATGTTGCTTCTTTATTCCATATTATTGTCAAGTTCAAACTCTAATCCTAAACCTTCATCATTCATTCAATTGTTATTGAATTGTAAGAAATGTTGTTAATATACATTTTAAAGCATAATACTGCTTCAGAAAAAACATTGCTTGAAATAAATTGTATCAAAATTGGTTTTTAAAATCCCCTAAAGTATCAAACAGGGTGACCTGCAATGCTACATCATGGAAATAATTTTCAAAGTTATTTTTCTGATTTTCTTAAACTGAAATCATATGGGACTAAACAAAAACTATAATTTTACAAGTATCAATTTGGCATGACAGTATTTAAGATGACACAGTTAGGTCACTTAAAGCTGAGGTAACTAACTTTTTCTGTTTCATAAATATTACAGGTTGTTTGTTCTTCAAAGCATGTTATGTGAAATGTTATCTTTAGCACAAAAAAAATTCAAGTAACAGCCCTGTGAGTCAGTAGTTGATGCTTTGGGCTGAGAGCTGATTGGCTGAGTGAGGGTGGTCCTCTCTTTTTCACTTTTCTGTCTGCATGTAAAAATGTTTTACTGCTTAGGTTCTTGTTGATGCAGTAAAAAGCAGAATTAACTTTCTTCGACACATGTGTATGTATTGGTCAAAACAATAGCTTCTAATCTGTTGTAACCTGTTGTAAAGGAGCAAGGGAGGAAACAGAATCTTGTTTCTTTTCTTCACTTTGTAAAATGACCTAAATATATGTATTTTAAGAGGCTTAAAAAAGCTATACAAATAGCAGGGTATTACCGTTGAAAGATTAGACAGAAAAGTGCCCCTTTATGTGTTGGACAAAAAGTTGGAATGCAGCCAGACTAGCATAGAGAGAATATGCATTAGTTACGGTTAAAAACTATACTATTTTCAAAAGACAATATCTAGGGATGGATAAATAAACAAACAAACCCTGACTTAGTATCTGTTGGTGACTTGATAAATGTTTTGCTTTTTTCATCAGTTTTTTTATAGATAACTAGCCCTTACAATAAATACAGTGTTGGGGATAGTTCTTTCAAAATGTGTTTTGTTTGAAGATATTTACTGAATAACTAGTTTGAAAAGTATCATTCTGAACACTAGGAGCATGTATCCACTTGAATATTCCTATATTTCTCATAATAAGTAAATGTGAAACTCCTTTCTTGACCTGCTGACCCTCTTCATCATTGGTTAGTGTCTCTGATTGGCCACGCCTCTTTTGTGATTAATCACCTGCTGCTGCCTTCCCTTTCCAAAATCCTGTCTCTGCCACTGTTTCCCCAAATGTGTGACAACAACTATCTTATTCCTGACTACTGATCGACTGTCTTGTTTTCCGAATAGGCCTTCAACTGCTTGATATTCTCCCCAAATTAAGGTGAGCATTTGCTTTTAACGCTTGATTTAGTGATGTTTACCTTTACTCCTTTGCGTTTCTGAAAGCCCATAATTGTTTCAACTTTTTTTTTTTTTTTGCCTCCTTCTATTAAATGTCATAGTTAATGAAAAAGGTTAGCTTGTTTGTGTTGGGAGCTGGCATTTAGAAAAGTTTGAAATGTCTATGGTGTGTGTGCACAGGGAGCAGGAGGATGATGATTTGATGATTCAATGTGAGGCCTTTGAGGAGGCTATGGCTGAAGATGAAGACGAGCTGCTGAGGGTGTACGGGGGGATCGACATGAGCAACCACCTGGAGGTCTTCACCACTCTCTTCAACAAAGTCAGTACAAAATCATGGAAGAAAACGACATGTGAGGATGCTGTTGTCTTAGCTTTGTGAAATGACTGTTACTGTTTGCACATACAGGTTAGCAGTTCTCCAGCCTCACTTCAGCTCCTGTCCATTCTGCAAGCCTTGCTGCTGCTGGGACCAGACCGCACCGATATTTGGGTCGCAGTGGAAGCCATCATCAACAGAGCTCTGCTGGTGGCTCAAGACTGTAAGATAACATTCATCTCATGTAAACCCGGTCTAAAGGCCAGCATATAATCCACTCAGCCCAGACGAATAATAATAGCAATTGATTGGCTTTAGTTGTTGCACTGGTTGATGAGAAGGTATTTGTTCCTTTTCGCTCTGTTTAAACAAATACATCTGTTGAAAACTTAACAGAGCTGCAACATTCTCTCCACTTGGTGTTCTGTAAAAAAAAATCCTATAAATTTGATGGCATTTGACAAGCTATGTTAGCCACAGCGCTGTTGATTTCAGCCCAAAAAGTACAATAGAAGTTCTTGTGAAATCACAATATTTCAAAGTGCCTATAGTTTTGCTTTGTGTTGAGGAGCAGTTGAGAAATCTTTCCTTGTAAGCAATATTTTCAAACTTAGACTTTAGTTTAGAGCCAATCTTTGAATCCATATGAAACAAATTCTCAAACTTAATCATGTTCTTTGTCAGCACATACTGTATGGGCTCATTTCTCTCGCATTAAAAGTGTCTAGAAGTGGTGACAATATTCAAAAACATACGTATGGTGACCAGTAGACCGTACTTTCAGACACAATAATTTGGATTTCTGAAAACATTTGGAGTTTTTTTAAATAAACAAATGTTTTCTTTCAAAGGGGTATATTTGCACCTACTATAACTGACATAGAACTCTAGAACATAAACACAGCCTGCAAATAACAAATGACCTTTCAAACATCTTATTTGATCGGGACAACACACATTAATGAACAATTATATACAAGTTGTACACAAATTGTAAATGTGCCAGATTGTAGCAAAACTGCTAATTTACATCCATAGTCCCGAGGCAGGTCACACAATAATAATACAAAAGGACAGTATACAATTAGTTAGCCGATTATGATCTTTATATTTTACTAGGATAAAACTTATTGAGATTAAAATGTATTTGGCAACTGTTCAACTTTTCTGTAATGTGCAAATGAATAGAAAAAAAAAAGCATTTAATATCTGATAAGCGTAATTGAATCAACCCTACACATTGCTTGAGTGAAAAGGGCACTCGATGTTTAGACTGTGTGCGTGGAGGAATGAACAGAGCGTGTCTGTGTGGCCCAAACTAACAGGAATGTAAATAGAACATGTGAGAACCCTGTGCTAAATATTGTTGCAAGTATTCATCAGGGCAAATGGTGACATGTGTGGATCCTAATCATATCACACCACCATGGCAAAAATTATTCAAATCCTAGTGTATAGATATCGTATTATGATAAATTTGACTTTGTCTATGTAATGAAATGGTATATTCTTGCTTCAGCCCTCTCCTTTTGAGCAGAACTAAAACTGTTCAAATGAATATTTACATTTTTACTTGTATCTATAAATGCATTTTGCCTTTTTTTATTAAGCGCTTTTATTTGACTTGTGTAGGAACTGTGCTGTACATATAAACTTGCCTTATTTTAGTCAAAGCCAAAGGGGCCATTACAAATAAACATAACCAATCCACTTTGTTTATGAAATGTAAAAAATAGTTTCCAATTTGCTGCACATTAAAACGGTTAAAAATCCACAGTAAAATCAAATAGGAAAAACCGTGTGTTCATATATGTATAAATAAAATGAAAATGTAACCGGGTGTCCTCTGCCCTGGTCTAACCTTGTGTCTCTGTCTGTAGCTCAGATGGGCTCCTGCGACACCATCCTGCAGCGGTTGACGTCCTCCAAAGGGAAAAGTTACCAGGGACAGCACGAGTTGGACGGACTGGTCGACAAGGCTGACAAAGCTGTGCAAACGGATGTCCCGGATGGCAATGGCGTGTTGGACAAAATTCAGAAATCTCCTCAGAGACCATCATGTGCCTCTCATCCACCTCCACCTCCTCCACCTTTGCCCAACAGCTGCCCTCCTCCTCCTCCCCCGCTGCCAGGGTTGACCAGTGCCCCTCCACCTCCTCCTCCTCTCCCTCCCTGTGCTCCTGGGTTGCCTCCACCACCGCCGCCTTTACCTGGAATGGCCCCGCCACCGCCTCCACCTCCTCCTCCGTTACTCGGCATGGCACCCCCGCCCCCCCCTCCCCCTGGTATGGACATGATCGTGGCCCAGAGCGCGCAGAGCCTGGGCCGCAGCGCCTCGCTCCGGACGCACCGATGTCCCACTCTGAGGATGAAGAAGCTCAACTGGCAGAAACTCAGGACTGTCACTGGTAATTCTCCTGCGTGTGTCTCAGTAACACTTGATTGATGCAGCACTTTTTATACAATTTGTGTAATTTTTGTATAACCTTAAATCAAAACGGCAGCCATCTCGGGGTTATACAAAGTTGTCGATTCACCAACAAACATCGTAGAATCAAACACAGGAAATGCGACGATAAGAAATGCATTTTACATGTTCTGCCAAATTGAAAAAATGACTCGACTCAGTCGTTTGAGAAACAGTCCAACGATGGATGAGCCCTGAAACTTGTATTGTAAAGCTTGTAAAGTGGCACTAAAATTCAGAATGGAAATAAATTGACGAAAAATATGTATTCATATTGTAGAGAAATTATTGTGGGAAGCCAGGCCGCAGTATAGAAAGTCCTGGACAAGATGGTCTGTTCCATTTTTAATTACATGGTACATGTAAGTAACAGACTTAAACGTCTGATAAAGCTGGCAGACTTTAAGATAAATCGATCAACCAATTGGTTTGGAAAAAAGCTTTTTGACTTAAATGTTTGTATATAAATGCTGATTGACTTTTTAAGCACAAAAAAGTATAATTTAAATACACAACTCATTTTATATGCCAAACATATGAAACTAGATCTGAAACGATTGAGGTTTAACATTTGCATCTGCTGTGTCTGGAAAATAATACTGATAAATGGATATACTCTATGTTCTAAAATGAAATAAAATGTCTGAATTCTAGCATAAAAAGCACTATAAAATCTCTATATTTTGCATAACAAGGAAGTCTAAAGTCCCTTAAACTTGACTTGACATCAACTAATTGGAGAAGTCCAAGCACAGGGTTAATGCAGATTATAGATCATTAAATTGCATGACTCATGGGAGTCTCTAGAAAACAAACTCTCAAACTTCCATGTTCTCCTTTTTACATAAAAGAAAAACCTTGTGTTTTTAGTAAGGGAGTTCCTCAAAACAACTTCCCCTCCTGCTAACCCATTCCTTGATGACCCCGTTGGATCTTGACTCTTTTTTTTTATTTTTATATTATCCTTCCTCATTTCAGACGGGCACTCCATGTGGACGTCGGTTCAGAAGGACCCTCCTCCGCGAGAGCCTGACTACAGCAGCATCGAGCAGCTGTTCTGTCTCCCGGTGACCGAGCCCAAAGACAAGGGGGCAGCTGCTCCTGTCAAGAAGGAGCCTAAAGAGGTGTGCTTGGACAACACTTGGTCAGGCCTGCAGAAACCTGCCCACAACCTCAAATCATCTATAATATTCGCTTGTGTTTCTAGATCACGTTTATTGATCCAAAGAAAAACTTGAATTTGAATATTTTCCTCAAGCAGTTCAAATGGTGAAGTATTCTCAAGCATCTCTCCCCCGGCCTAAGAAAAGCATTTCTCTTTGGTTTGAACAAAGTCTCAACATTTCTTTTGCCACAGCTCAAACGAGGACTTTGTTGCCATGGTGCAGAGTGGCGATCGATCCAGATTTGATGTCGAGGTGCTAAAACAGCTCTTAAAACTGCTGCCAGAAAAGCATGAGGTTTGTAAAAGTATATCTACCTGAACAAAGGGGGGTGGCTTGAGTATCGGCATAAATGCTGTAACATAGATGGACAATGCTAACCCCCGAGCGCAATGAAGTCTTTTAGGGTAGTGCTCATGGACGAAGTTTTGCTCCTATGTGGTCTGGCTCCTTTTGACTGACATTGAAAAGTAAACTCCTCCAGCTTAGTAACAATTTGTGTCACTCTTTTATCCTGGTGTGTATTCATTCATATTGTCTCCATCTATTTTTGAGAATAAATGGGTAAACATGAGAATTTGATACTTGAAGAATCAGTCATTCGCAGGTGAAACGCCAGCTGCTGTTGAGGCGCAATTTGTATTTATAAATGTCTAACACAGCGTAAGAACCATATAAGGAAGTTGGCTCCAGCTAGTTTGTGTTAGAATCAATGCGAAAGAAGGAGAATCAATTTGCAACAATCTTTTTAAACATAAATTATTCTAGTCCTGCCTACTGGTTGAAACGATGATACAACTTGACTAAACACAAACATACATTGGTCTATACTGCCCGACCCAACAGCTGTGCCTCATGTTGTAAACGCTAAACAAAATATTCTGACTGGTTTGGTTTTATTTTGGTCTAAATTACAGGACATTTCATTTGGATTAGATCACATCAAACACAAATGAACAGCTGTTTCATTCTGCTGTTATATCACATCCAGGCTGTACTGTGAGCTCTTTATTTGTGTTGGATAAACATGCTTCAGTCACCCGTTCGTCTTAAAACCATCAATTTATTGTTATTTTTTTATTTATTTTTTTTTGCCCCCATTTTTATTATAGATTGAGAATTTGAAGTCATTCCAAGGGGAAAAGGAAAAGCTTGCCAACGTGGATCGCTTCTACAACTCGCTCCTTACAGTTCCGTGGTAACTTCCTTTGCAATAACTTTAAAAACTACCAACATGTATTGATTAATTATTTTTTTTAGTCTGGTTTTGAGCTTGGTTTCTCGTCCATTTCCCACTGGGAGAATGTCATCTCTGTCACTTTGTCCTGGCAGTTATCAGCTGAGGATTGAGTGCATGCTGTTGTGCGAGGAGACTGCATCAGTGTTGGACATTCTCAGGCCTAAAGTCAAACTGGTGGAGGCGGCTTGTCAGGGTAAGAATGCAGATTTTTATGTTTAAGAAAAGTGTTTGTTTTGTTTAATCTGATAAAAACAATATTCTCCATTTTGATGATCATTGACGTTAATTTGACATTAATCATCCCATCATATCGGCCTTTTTAACCAAGCCATCTGCTCCAGCTCAGACAATCTCCCAAATATGAACATTGTCTCTGGGAGATTTTCTGTTGGAGGAGATTGATAAATTCTAGGGAACATTTGTTAAAGCTGGAGTATCTTTCTTTCATTCCATCTAACGACAGTAGTGCCTTACGCTCAAAGCAGTTTGGTTCCTTAAGTATTTTTCATTAGCGGGTAAGCGGGAGGCCTGTCACATTTTAGATCAGAATGGTTCTCTCCTTTTCACTTCAAAAAGCACTTGCAGCCCAAGCATCAGTGACTCACAGGACAAAAGATGACTTTCATTCGCCGATTTAAGAGAATGCAACATTTTACCATTACAACTTTAACATATTTGGTTTGTCCCAACAAAAAGTCTTAAAGTTTAGTTGTGTTTTGACTAATGGCTGTAGATTGCTTGCGTTTCTAATCTACTATTGTAAAATCTTTTGAATATTATTCATTTTGGGCTGTGCAAAAAAGGTTTCTAGTTGGTACTGTGGTAGAGTTCTGGGTTTGTTGTGATATAAATGTGGTTGGTAAAAGACTATAAAATTAAGAAAGGTTGAGTAATCGTTCTGATGCTTTGAGCACCTCAGTGTCTGAAAAGAGCATTACAAATTGTTTTTCTTTTATTATTTAGAACCACAATATTGACCATGGATCTCATCTCAAATAAGAGGAGCCATGATTTGGTGCTATATTGCGTCTGTGTGTGATAAGTTATTTTTCTTCTTTCACAGCTCTCCAAAAAAGCATCCACTTGCCCAGCTTCTGCAAGCTCATTCTTGACGTTGGCAACTTTCTCAACTATGTAAGCCCATTCTTCTTATCTATATTTCACTCTGCATGAAAGGATTGCATTTTTAATTATAATGTGCCTGTTTCCAGGGAAGTCACACAGGGAACGCAGAAGGCTTTAAGATCAGCTCTCTGCTCAAGCTCACGGAGACTAAGGCCAACAAGAGCCGTATAACCCTGCTTCACCACATCCTGGAGGTGCGTGTTCTTGGTTATTTTAGACCAACCAATACAATGGGCAGCTTTCTATTTGTTTTATCATTCGCTGTCTGCCCCAACTACTTCCCATCTGACCGATATGCACCAGTGATCCCAAAACATAATTGGTTATTTGTTTAAATAATGCAAAAACCCATTACACAGCCATATTTGCCTTGTGTCTTGCTTGGATTGAATAAACTGAACCAATTTCAGAGAAAAAATCTAACGCACCATCGATAAGTCATTAGTTGTGTAAAATGCCTCCATAAACAAAGTAAAATATATTTCAATAAAAATAATTCCCATCAATGCAAAAAATAAGCTATAAAAATTAACTAGCATTGGTCCCTACCCATGAGTATAGATGGACATTGCTTACTTCCTAGGTTCAATGAAGCCCAATGGGGAAGTGCTCATGGATGAAGTTTTGCTCCAACTCACTCAAGCTCCTATTGTTTTTGCATCGAAAAGTAAACTAGTAGCTTTGTAAACATTTGGCACACTCGCCATTTTGGTGCTCTGGTTTAGGACTCTCCGTGATCCTGGGATATTTATTTTGATATTGACGTATCTAGATTTACCGTAAGATTCTCTAATTTGCGAGGGAAACTCAACCTTTCTTTGTAACCTGGTCTGAACAAATGCCCATTTAAGGGAATTGGCTTCACTTAGCTGATGTTAAAATCGACTCCTTCAGCATTTGGTAAACCCTATGGGTGAATTAAGAACTTTCAGTCCTGTCCTATTGTAGTCTTTGCCATGTTTGACCCAATCTTTATTTGCAGCCTTGAAAAAGTAAAAGTAAGCCTTTTTGAAATCTGCAATCAACCAAAGAAAGATTTGGCCTCCAAAACCCCATGTGTATCTTTCCTATTTTGTTATAATTTTAAATCTGTTTTTGTGAAGGAAGCAGAAGCAAACCACCCAGAGCTGTTGGCACTGCCCGACGACATTGAAATCTGCGAGAAAGCAGCGGGGTAAATTTCTTGTCATCTATCACACTGTATTATACTGGTTCCTTTTGATTGTGAGCTGAGTAGGAGGAATTGCAAATATCCTTTCTTCACAGAATCAACCTAGAGTCGGTTCAGACTGAAGCAAATGGCTTATTGAAACGACTAACTGATACTGCCAAGAAAGTGTCCAATTCTGCAGAGGAAGTGAAGGAGCAGTATACACAAGTGCTGGAGGTAAGTCTGCTTTCTGATAGTTGCACAAGAGCTGTGCAAATTATAGTGATTTTCATGTTTACAAAGAAAGCTGTACAAACAGAAGGGGGTGGAAGGTCTTGACAGTTGAATGACAGTATTAGAACATAAGCATACTTTATTCAAACGTAGACCCTTAGTGGGGCTTGTAATGGAAAGTTATTTGGTATTGATTATTAAAACTGTTCTCAACTAATTTGGTAATCAGCATGTTTATGTAGATGTTTACAAAAATACTTGAAGTGTTATTACACAAGATCCTTGGGTCGGGGGGTGGCAGTGGCAGTCAGAGCTGCACCATCCCCTCACTGATCCTCCTGCAGGTGGTGAGTCCACAGGAGGATGGCTGCTCTTTCAGTGTGAACACAGCCTTGATCTTTCAGCGGTGGCTTCAGGCAAAGTCGGGTAAAATGTCTTGCCCTAGGACACAACGACAGCAGACAGATCAGTGGGAGTTTGTGGAGAAGGTCTTGTGGTGGGCTCGAACCTACAATCTCCATGGCTCAAAGGCCAATGCTCTACCAACTGTGCGACAGTAGCAAAAATCATATAAAAAAATCATTATTCAGTAAAGTGAAGAATCAAAATAAAATGAATGACTGTACCAGGAGTCTAAAATTGCAATTCAGGCTAATCCTACCAATAAAGGGTTAGGGCCTCAAGAATAGAAGCTATTAAAACAAGCATTATTGAAATCTTGACAATAACTTATCAATCATTACAGCTTCAGCCTGGATAAGTGTCTGCCACTCCCCATGTTTTGTATTTAAGTTGTTGGAACGTGGAGTAAAAAACTCTGGAGACGGTATAAGGAATATCTTAAATTTCAGAATACTAGGCTTGACACTTATATTTAAATTTCCCCTAATAATCTTACACTTGGGATTGTCTCCTCCTCAGGAAAATGTGGAGGCATGTCGAACTCTGAGTGAAAGGTTCTCGGAGATGGAGAAGAGGAGGAGTGAGCTGGCAGTGTATCTGTGTGAAGATGCCAATCAGCTGTCGCTAGAAGACCTCTTTGGAACCATCAAAACTTTTCGGCAACTCTTCATCAGGGCTCTGAAGGTCTGTCTTCCCTACGCGCAGCCACAGAACATGGAGCAGTTGTCTCTTCTCCAAATGTTTGTGTGGTGTGACAGTCGTGCATCTGCTGTGCAAATGAGAAGTGTCATTTATACTGTGCTACACTGTAAAAATATCTCTTGTATTTCACACCATGACTAATCATTTGCACATTATGTACTTGATAATTACTGTCACTCTTTTGTTCATCAGGAAAATAAATCGAGGAAAGAGCTGGCAGCCAAAGCAGAAAAGAGAAAGAAGCAGCTGGCGGAGGAGGAATCAAAGAGGCAGAAGGGAGAGAATGGAAAGATAAGTGAGTGACTACAGTGTTTTGAGACGAAATGACTGGAGATCAGATCAATTCACGCTCTTTACACTTTTGTTTTTAGTCAAGAGGGGTGTTGTGCCTCAAGATGATGGCTGCATTGTTGACCAGCTCCTGGCTGATATCAGGAAAGGTTTCAGCCTTAGAAAGACCAGGCCCAGGTGCGATTCGGGAACCCTCCCTTCTAATGAAATGCGTAGGGATACCTGCCCGCCTGGTAAGGACCGAGAGCGTGGAGTCCCCTGCTGTCTGCAACCGCCTCTGTCCTCTCGCAGTTTAAGCCCGCCACATCTGCCCTGTCTGTCCCAGCTTCACCGCCTCTTAAAGGGACACTACCTGAAGCATATTTCAATCTTTTGGAAAACCGCATTATTTTACTGACTAGTCTTACTTTTGAGACTAGCAGCATTTTGAAAACATCCTCAGAATCAGTACATTTTATTTTACCATCTTATTTTAATTCTATTTTCTTACATAATAGACTGTGTGCTACGAGTGCACTTATTTCCTTCTTTCTCTGCTGTAATGTGCGCAACAATGACACTGAAATTTCCCCTCTGTGGGACGAATAAAGGAATCTTATTTTTATTGCCCTGCGAAACGGGAAGTCATGTTAACACAGAAATAGGCTTGCATTAAAAATAAATATAGCCCTTGTTTTATGGTAGGATTTTTAAGACGTTTTCTAAAATCACAAGACATCCTAATTCCTTTGACAGATAAAGATTGGGATGGTTGATGGTGGTGTACCTTTAACACGGCACCATTTCAAGAGTGCATTGCTTGGCTGCTTTTCCTTCAAACGCATCACACAACTCAACTCAACTTTTATTTAAATTCTCCGCAGAGTCAAATGTGAAGCCTGCAAAGTACGAAAACGCCGCTCAAGCAACCATTTCCGCGCAGTCCTCCAGCCCTCAAGCTCCGGTCTGTACAGGAGACGGGACCAGCTTCAGCCGCCCGTCAGGAGAGGCTCCACAGGTAGACCCGAGGCCCGCAGAAACAGCCACGCAGACTCTGCCACGCCCAGGAAATACAGCAAGCGCGCCCACTCAAGCACCCCCGTCAAAATCAAATGCAACCTCAACACCCAGCAATCCATCTACGCCGTTGGGGGAGGAAGCGAGCCGAAGTCTAGCTCCAGAAAACCAGGAGCTGTTTCTTCCGACGACGAATGGGTATGCGTTGGATTCTAGCGATTCGGGGATCCTAAGTCCCTCCTCGCTCTCGGACGCAGACTTGCTCGAAGCGGTTTTGGATGGAGGTTCGGAGAAGTTGCAGGAGCCTAAACACGAGAGTCCCAGAACAGAAATTGCCAAAAGTTGTGAAGGCATTATGAAAAGCAATGATGCCAGTGGTGATGCAAAAATCAATTTATCAAAAACTGAAAAGGGGCTGGAGCAGGGGAGTGAAGAATTTGAAGTTTTGGGTCTGGATGAGGCAGATGTGGCTCTGAAAAGCAATAAGCCTGCAGTTGGCCAGGCTTTTGATGTCCCTGATGGAGTGGAGATGGCTGAAGAGATGGCCGAAGAGGTGCCTGCTCCATCAGAACCCACAAAGCCTGAACCAAAGCGAAAAAACTTCTTTAAACGCAACAATAAAAGTAAACAAGGTAATCTATCCACTCACTTGAATAAAAATCAAATTTGCATGACTAGTGTCTCCATGATTTTAAAAGGGAATTCTTATTTATTTCTATTATATTATACTTTTTATATGTTTTTAGCTTTTTGTGTTAATTTTTTATACAGTGCTGCATGACTGATCTTATTTATTAAAGGTTTGAATGTTCTGTTTTTTATTTTTATTTTCGAAAAACAAGGTAACAGTGGGAAAGGACACGCTAAACATAAAAAAGGCTGTGTTTTGATGTGAGGTAGGTCAAATGGCTGGAGAAAATGGATCTCATCCTAATAAAATCACTAATGACGACATAATCATGTGTAAATGGGATTGGGCTGTCATTTGTCTATATCCGCCACCCTTAAACGATCGAATGGGAAATCGTATTGTGTGTATTCTAACATCAGCTCTCCAATCTCAAAGTAATCTTGTCGCTTGTGAAGTCATAGACTGTTTTAAATGTCTTTCTTTCTCCATATTTCTCTGTGCATACTTGAATCCCGAACTGAAGCCTACTAATTTATGTGTGCTTCCTGTATACTGTGCTTTTGTTCAAAATGGTCGTGGAATGTGTGTATGCTAAAGTGCCTAAATCTATTAAACAGATTTGCTATCAGTCTGTGCTGTTTGTGCTAAGCAGCTTTCCTTTCTCTGGTGTCATGACTTTTAATATATTTGGATTTCAATCTATTGATTTGAGTCTGTTTTCCCAGGTGACTCTAGGAGGAGTAAGGCCAGAGGTAAAAGAAAATGTTGATATGAAACATGAACGAACATTGACCTTTAACGGTGAAGTTACTTGAAGAAAATGCGGGACGTCTTTTACACCTTGGATCACCGGCGCACTATAAAAATGTCACTTTATATACATTCAGAAGTATGTAAATGGTGAAGCACTGATAGGGAGAAATGTTTTGTATCGTGATCTGTGATATGCAGTCAGTTCTTCGCTTGAAGCTTTACATTTGAAGCCAATGGAGTATTAGCTCATGAGATTTTATCAAAAAAGTACTTGTTCTAATGTATCTAAATATCTTATAAGTTCTTACATATTTAAACTACATGATGTGTAACTTAATGTTTGATGTATTTTAATAAAACATGGTCCTTTGTTAGTATTGTCAAGTGGTAAATGTTGGTATTTCATAAATATAAGGTGGTTTTAAAATACTCCAGATGCTGAAAAGGTATACTGGTTACTACAGTATGAGGGATTAGTCAGAAATGTCAATGTTTCAATCACAAAACAGATTCAGAATAAAAAAATTGCCATTTGCAGTAAATCCATAGGAATACACTTGCAAAAGACCCCAGTGTGCACAAGAAAAGTTCAGAAATAAAACAAAACGGTAAACAATTGACATTGAAATCGATAGACTAAAACCCTTTAAATACAAAGCAAGGAGCAGTGCACAACACATGTAAAAATAAAATCTCTATAATCTTAAACAAAAAAATGTACACGGTATAAACATGTAAACTAGTGCAAAGAAATACTGTGTATACTTGCATGTTTACATTAATAGCTTCATCTTTGATACACTAGTGCAGAACTGGTACATAGAGGTTACCTCAACGGCTTTAAAAACTAATTTATTATACAAATAGATTCATTTTTATTTGCAGTAAAACCAAATTGGAATACATGTGCAAAAGTCCCCAGTGTGCCTAGAAAGGTAAATCAAGAAAACAAAAGTACAGAGATAAAACAAATTTCAAAAAAGTGCAGGAAACAAATGACATCTGCATTACTACATTATAAATATAGGGTAATTTTAGGTCCTACTCAACACTGGTAATAACAATTAAATGAGCCACGGGTTTACCATGGGATATTTGAGTCAACAACTTCTTCTAAACATTGTCCGTGGTCAGAGAGAGGTCAAGTGTCGCGCGCTCAGCTCAGAGGCATGTGTCCACTGGTGCGCCTGGCTCTGACATCACACAGTTACTGATATAGCAATGCCAGACTCCGCTGCAGTTTAGTCTAGAGACGGACCTAGACCTCAAGAGCCGCCGACATGTCTCACGGCTGGTCGGCCAAAGAGCACAAGAACTCCAACGCGCCCGCGGGACAGGGCACGGGACACAAGCGTGCGCGTAATGACGGTGGAAACAAAGTGACGGTGGTTCTCGGCGCGCAGTGGGGAGACGAAGGCAAAGGGAAAGTGGTCGACCTCCTGGCCACGGAGGCTGATATTGTCTGCAGATGTCAGGTAAGGTTTGGATTCGCTGGGATTGATAGATATAACTCGGGTACAATCAGTGAAAGCAAAACTAAACACTAAAAAACTAAATATTGAAAACTGGATGAAAGCAACAGGTGATCAGCTGCAGAATAAAAAACAGGTAACGGGAACTGGATTATCCTAGACCAGATGGCAACAATGTGTGACATGCATGATAGATATTGGTTAGTCAGTGTTAGTTAGAAAATAAATCTCTCCTCCGTTTACAGTGACCTATATCAAGACCCTTCAATAACATTGGTCACATAACTTATCACAGCCTAATAAAAGCAACAAGTTGACAGCCATATCTGAATTTTTTTTTTTTGGTATTATTGCAGGGAGCAGGTTACAGGACTTCAAAACAATCTGCAGTGTGTGTAGTTTCTGCAGTGACAGGACAGCACCCGAAGTTCTAGAGGGGTGACAGCCCCACCCAGCAGGGCGAGAGCGAGGTCACATTCTCAGGGTGGTGTGTTATGTGAGAAGGCCAGGTCTTAGCCGGGGGGGAACAGAGCAGAGGAGACACCAATGTTCCAGCCAAGTCTGTTTAAAAAGGTGCAGAGTAAACCCATAGGCCATCTTTTCAAACTGTTGTGATGTTTAGGGTGGCAACAATGCAGGACACACGGTGGTAGTGGATGGCAAAGAGTACGACTTCCACCTGCTCCCCAGTGGAATCATCAACACCAAAAGCATATCACTTATCGGTAAATACACGTGTCAAACTGTAATCCTTTTCATTCAATTGTCATTATCAAAATAAGTTTAAATAAGAGTATAATATAAGAGTAAGTATACAATTTAAATCCACAGGTAATGGCGTTGTTATACATCTCCCCGGCCTGTTTGAGGAGTGTGAAAAAAATGAGAAGAAAGGTATGTGTAAAATAACGCATTATTTGAGAAACATTTTCACTTTATCAGACATTTGAACCTGTTTGTGTCTATAGGTCTGAAAGGCTGGGAGAAGAGGCTTATCGTGTCTGACAGAGCCCACATTGGTAGGAGCACGATGCAATGATCTTTTGTATTTCTAGAATTGCAAAAATGCTTTCATATTATAATAATTGTTGCTTGTGTCTGCAGTTTTTGACTTCCACCAGGTTGTTGACGGCCTACAGGAGACTGAGCGGCAAGCACAAGAAGGAAAGAAGTAAGTGTTGTGTTAAATAATACTTGGAGACGATTGCTTTTTTCAAATGTACTGTATTATGACAACAGTATTGGAACAACCAAGAAGGGCATTGGACCTGCATACTCCAGCAAAGCATCCCGGACTGGACTGCGTGTCTGTGACCTTCTGGGAGACTTTAAGGACTTCTCTACCAAGTACAGTTTCAATTCATTATTGTATCAAGTATTGTGTGTTATTATTTGTATTTATTTACATCTATTTTAGGTTCAAGAATCTTGTCCATCAGTATCAAGCCATGTACCCCTCATTGGAGGTTGAGGTGGAGGACCAACTAAAAAAGCTCAAGGTGATGATGTCACTTATGCCTTCTATTGGTGCTGTACTAATGCTGCTGTTGCATTTGTAGGAATACGCTGAAAGATTGCGGCCAATGGTTAGAGATGGTGTCTATTACATGTATGAAGCACTTCATGGATCTCCAAAGAAAATTTTGGTTGAAGGGGCCAACGCTGCTCTCCTTGATATTGACTTTGGTAATAAATCTATACTTATATTTTATTATTATTATTATTATTATTATTATTATTATTAATATTATGAGCATATTATCATGTCATACTATTTTTATATATGTTTTAATCCAATTCAATTATGTTATTATTGTACCAAAATTTTTGCTCTATATAAGATAATATCCATCTGTGACATTTTTATCCCTTTTTCACAATTTTTTCTCATGATTTTATTTTCTAGTATTATTTTATTGAAAGGTTTTCAGTCTAAAGGCTCATATCCACTTATACCATTATAATGATTGTTTTTATTTTCTTTATTATCCTCATCACTGCTACTTTTGATATTTTTGAATGTATTTTTATCATTTCCTGTCTAGGCACATATCCATTCGTGACATCATCCAACTGCACCGTCGGAGGCGCCTGCACCGGCCTGGGCATCCCTCCTCTCAACGTTGGTGATGTGTTTGGAGTCGCGAAGGCTTACACGACTCGAGTGGGAATCGGAGCCTTCCCAACAGAGCAACTCAACGTAAGAGTTTCACGTTGCGTTTGTAAATGGCTCACAGTGCGCCTCACATACTGTATGTTCTCGTGCGGACGACTGTTCAAAGAGACGGTGTGGCGTGGCGTTATGTAAGAGACCGATGCTGAGCTAAAGGTTGATTCTGATCATGTTGCTGGACACACAGCAGTAGGACAGACTCAGAGGAGAGGGGGGCATGTTTTCTGGCGAGTGCAGCTGTTAGATTTTGTGAGAGACTGTGCCTTTACTTCTTTCGGCGTCACATGTTCACAGGGTTAAAATTAGGGCCAGAGGGGTGCTTCAGGTTATATTTACAGTGTTGGCGTGACTTATGTTTCCTGTCACCAAACTGACCAAATGGACAAAGATCAGCACATGCAACAACAACCTTTGACCTTTGTGTTGGCTTTTTGTACACTTGCAGTTTCAGCGTTTGCTATTGCCTAAAGTAGACAAAGTAGTAGTAGATAAACACATTCAATTCAATGTTTTCTTGTATAGCCCTAAATATCAACAGTAGTTATATTGAGGACTTTACAAAACCATCAAATTCGTCAACACAGATCAGAGAATAAAACAGTTCAAACACACGAAATGCATTGATAGAAAAAAAAAACACATCCGTCCAAGGGGCATGTCCATAAATGTCTCTACATGTTTTTGAATGTTGAGTGTCCTGAATCCTCACCGATCTCATGTCAAAGTCTCCCTTGTATCTCTGGTTCCAGGCGACAGGTGAGCTCCTCCAGACGAGAGGGCATGAGGTGGGGGTGACCACAGGACGCAAACGTCGATGTGGCTGGTTGGATCTTGTTATTGTCAGATACGCTCACATGATCAATGGCTTCACTGCGTAAGTGTAGCCAACTGATAAAGCTCATTACACGTATCAATGTGCATGTCCTCACACACAAGTTTACCTGAACCGTTCTTCACAGTATCGCCATGACAAAACTGGACATTCTAGATGTGCTGGATGAAATTAAAGTGGGTGTAGCCTACAAACTTAACGGAAAAAGAATTCCCCACTTCCCTGGTATGGGAGAATCGTATTTCATTATTAATACCCTATTTGAATACACTATGCATGCATTTTGAAATATTTCTCTAATAATTCTCTTATAGCCAATATGGATGTATTGCAAAAAGTAGAGGTTGAATATGAGACTTTCCCTGGATGGAAGACTGATACATCTGCTGCCAGGAAGTGGAACGACCTCCCTGCCAAAGCACAGAATTACATTCGATTCATCGAGAACCACATTGGAGTTCCAAGTAAGTTTTTTTTACAATTACAAAACTTTGAATTTAAGTGCTGCACCTTCACTGTGACTTGTCTCTTTTCAGTCAAATGGGTTGGTGTTGGGAAGTCCAGAGAATGCATGATCCAGATGTTCTAGAAAGGAATACTTCTCCAAACAACTCTACAATAAAATTTAAGAAAACATTTTTATTATTTTTGTGACTATAAACAATAATGTTACATTTGTAGCACATGCTGCATTGACAGTACTTACCACTTTGAATTTGCCGAAAGATTGGTCTCAGGGCACACACAGACACATAGACCATGGGTACGATTCTTCAGCAAAGGTCCTGGTCATATGCAGATATCAAGAAGTGTACTGTTTTATATTTTAATAAACAAAAATGCTCAGTTATTCCCTATGCCACGTTTGAACTAGTGGACCATAAGGGACGATGTAATAAATTACTCCTTATTATTTAACTTTGTACATTTGCAAAGTATTCTCTCCAACACTATTTATAATACACGCCCAACTTTAACTTACCAAAATTGTCCAGGGGCCAACAACATGGATTGCAAAACATTCTACTGGTTCTGACCTGAAGTATGCCATGTCAATGTTGATTCAAGTTGACTGAAAATAAATGTGTACTATCTCATCAGCAAAAGTGGTGCCATATTCATAATGTTCACATAAAAAGCAAATGTCAGCTTATACAAATATAGTCAATGACTGAATTCCAGTGGTTCTGAGCTTTACAACAAGGTACACCATGCATATATTTGTGAAGCTGAAGTTGACTGACACTCTGAACATGTGTTTATGATATCAATGGCTTCTTTGTATTAGCAGGCAGAGGGCCACATAACATGACAGATCGGGCCCCATTTCCCCCGGGGGCCTTGTTTTGGACATGTCTGATCCATTAATCAATCCAGAAACCTACTTCTGTTATAATCAGTCTGTCATTTTGTTTTCTGTGCTGGGTTTATCTTTTGGTTTTAAATGCGCCAGTGCTGCTCAATGCTGGACTGGAAAAGGTTTCATGCAGAGCCCTAATAGATCCAGGCTGTTCAGTACAGTGAGTCCAGGGGTTAGTAAACATGTCCTCTGGAGCCGTTCCCCGCGTAACAAGTCATGTGGTTTAAAGTCCATCGTGGATTGGCTGGAGCTTTCCACGTGGTCATAAAAGCCTGCTGTGATTGGCTCTCGTCTGTTGTTTCCCGCACATAGTTTGCTCGAACCGCCTCCTCTCGTTCTACGCACTTTGGATTTTCTGCGGTCAAAATGCCAAAAAGAGCCTATCCGTTTACTGAAAGTTTTTCATCACAATATAAAATCCACGTGGGGCAACATGAGCTGTGTCAAAACGGAGTCTTTGGAAACAAGTACAAACAGGAAATCTACGGTAAGTAACCCACACGTGTAGCCCATGGATCTATTATAATAACTGTGTAGCCTCGTTAGCCTTGTTAGCTTAGCACTGGGATTGTTTGTAGCTTGTCTGATGCTAACTCTCCAGTAGCATCGCGTATTCAATATTATAGCCTAGAGTTCACGAATCATAGCAATTGTATTGACTGATAATTCATACACGTCACTTTATAAACTCTTAAAACATTCAGCGCGTGTATAAAAGAGTTGGTTGCAGTTGTTCTGTTGTTTACTGTGTTTCTTTCCACTTTCAGCGAAAACAAAAAACCTTCTTTTTAACGGGGCCAAGGCTGTGATGGGCAAAATATGGACGGCAGAGGATAAGTGCACGACTCAAAGAGTGTGTGTCCCAGAGCAGGAGTCGAGCAGCAGCAGCAGCCAGCCTCTGCTCAGGGGACAGAGACTCATTGGACAAGACGGGAAACTTACCAAGGGCATGTGTGCCCAAGGTGGGTCTGGACTGCTCGATCATCATCACACATCGACACACATTACTCTAAATGTGATGCAGTGTTTGATGTGATGAAAGCCCCAGACATCCATGTGCTCGATGTGTCCCAAAAAACAGTCATGGTCCACATAGATGTTAGTTTGTCTAGGAGCCTCCTGTCCCCACCTGCTGCACTGTGCCCAGTGACCAGAGCTGGACTTCCTGATGATCTTGTCTAGCTTCTTCCCGCTCTGAGATGCTGCTGCTCCAGGAGACCACACTGTACATGATGGCTGATGCCACCAGTCATAAAAAGACCAAAATCGGATCCTTGTGAAGCTGTATATTTCAGCGTCTTTCAAATTAGTCAATGGGAACATGAATTGTGTGGCTGTCGATAGCTCATATAGATATTGTAGATCCATAGATGGAGCAGACAGGATGGAATGTGTTAAGGCCATCAGCCAATCCAATGTTCCATGACATCCAGCCAACTTCATACTGTAGACTACCTTGTTTCTTAAGCTCTTGAAACAAACTGATTTTGTTTGACTACATTGATTTTGGAACATTATGGCACTAACGCAGCTGGTGAGGAGGTTAACGTTCCAGCCAACTTTTTAGCTCAGCTAAATCAATGTGGACAGTATGTCGTACCTAAGTTTAAAGCTTTGAACAGCCCAAATCCCTTGACCAATGACTGAGCTACAGTTCTATTAGCAATTCATTGTTTCACTCACATGTCACATGCTGGTACAGGTTAACAGTGGCATTCATATCTCCCTGATCAGTGTTGAGACAATTCAGCTTCAGATGAATGTTGTAATGGCTCAAATGGTTTTACAGTAAAGTCAAAACGCAATACATTTTCTAAAATGTAATATCTCATTAGCATGAAAAACTTTTCTATAATTCAGTTATTTAATCCCCCTCCATTCTAAACACCAGATGGCAGCAAAGTATTATATAGTCGGAAAAGTCTCTAATGTGTCTTTAATAGATGCATGGTCTGGGCCCTCATGCTGACTGTTGTCTTTAGGGCCCTCTACTGGAGTCACAAGCTGCGGCGTGTGTCTGAAGAGCCAGGCCACACAGACGACCTGTTCCCAGTGTGAGCGAGCTGCCTGCTCCTCCTGCACCAGGCAGTGCTCCTGCTGCTCCAGCTCCTGCTGCTCTGTCTGCACTACTATAGAGTAAGAGAATTGTTTGAATATGCTACTGTAAGAAATGACTTATTGCGCAAAGTTCTGATCTCCTGTCTGCCTTTTCAGTTACAGTGGCAGATATGATGAAGTCATTTGCTGTGGCTGCTCGACGTGAGAGCTGAACCAAAGGAACAGACCCTGATACTTGAACATATTTGGAGTCTCATGAGATAAATTTTACTGCTTTTTATACCCTCACCACTGTGTAATGTAAATGCTGTTCTGTAAATATTTCCTGTGCTTTTATCTAAAATTTATCAAATAAATTCAAATGTATGTCTTAAAATGTGTTCTTTATCAGCCTGTTTTGTATAGAACCAATTTGACAGCGCCCACATGTTTGATATTTGATTGAAATACTACAGCTGTAAGTCTTTTAGATTTTACTTGCCTAGTTTAATAAGATTCTTATATTGCAATAAGTTTATGTGTGGACCTCCAGTTTGAGAACCATGGACACACTGATGTTTACAGTTATTATAATAGATCCATGATGTTGACACGCTTCAAATGTTTTGTGTTTACTTTGTCAGTAGAGGGCAGTGTGCACCAGTCTTCACCAGAAAGTGGAAGTCAGTTGTTGCTACTGCACCTTGTAGCAACTGACTTTCACTTGGATGGAATAAACTGTTGAAAGATTGTTTTTTTGTTTTTTTTGTTTTACATTTTCTAAAAGAACCGAAGATTTCGGGGGGAAAGTCTCAGTGACCGGGATACGAGAGATGTTTTACGCAAACAGAACATTCAAACTCCAAAGAAAGGTCCCAGTTGGCGCAGGTATGAACCCAGCACCTTCTAGCTATGAAGCCCAAGTGCTACCCACTGCGCCACCATGCTTATACACTGTGGCACATCTCCCAGAGGTCGGACAGCACTGAAGCGACCAAACCTGGAGTTGACGCAGGAATCACGTTGTCCGGTGCTTCTCACTGAAAGGCCACAGGCTGGAGCGCAATGTTTGTTTGCATAGTTTTTATTGTTTTGTTGTTGCTCTTGGCTCTTACTGTAGGCATCAATTTTACATTGACGCACATCTGAAGCCAGACCCAAAATGCCTTGAACAGTCTTGTTCAACAATCATTAGGAGTATGTTAGTTTTTCTGACCCCTATAGATCTAAATCTTGTGTAAAATGTCCAATATTAACTTCTCTCCAAGAAAAGTTAAAGGTGCATTGCACAGCTTTTCTGACAGGGTCCTCTACCTGCCTCTTCCCATGGATAAGATAAGATCAACGTTATTGCTTTCACAATGCAGAAATGTACATGTCACATTTGGCATAGATAGAATCACTCTATCACAAGATTGTGCAAACATGTTGAGGATATGGAGATGGTACTTTAATTTCCCTCTGATAAACATATGACAGATGAACTGTTAAAACCCTGAAGCATACTTGCAAGTTTGATCTTTTTCAATTTAGAAAACAAAAAATGGAGCCAACATCAGATGCCAGTGCATAGTATACCTCATCTCCATCAGAACACACCCGTCACATCTTGTCCAGATCACTTCCCATTTAAGTACTATTATAGCTTCCACCCCATTAAATGTTAAAAATACATAATCAAGTTAAAAGGCCATAGGCAGATCACGGCTATACACTCCCTCCTCTGCTCACTTAAGTGTGTAAAGATGTGTTTATCTGTATCTTCAAAACAGGAGGCTGCAGCTGTTGTTGTTTTCAGCACATCTCTATTCCAGACACCCAGAGGAGAGACAGAGGGGTCATGCTACGCCCTTTTCCACAGAGCGCTCCTCTCCTCCTGTAATATACACATGCCTGACTCTCTCTGTGTGTGTGTGTGTGAGAGAGAGAGAGAGAGAATGAGACAAGGAAGAAGAAAAGGAGAAGAGGGGGCCACACAGTCACCCACTGAGCCCCAGACAGCACCAACTGCAGTGGGCCAGCGGGGGCATGTGGCTTTGTCTTTGGTCCATTCTTTTGGGGACCAGCTGTGGTCTGAGTGCGCCGTGCGAGTGTTGGACCCAATGATGCTGCTGCTATAAATATGCGTCAACGAGTGTGAGTAAGTGACAGCTGTACAGTGGACCAAGGACAGTGTGTCTTGGCAGCGTCAGGGCAAGCCACTCCAAAAATGGAAAGCCCTGTGTGTGGGTGGGATGAATTTATCGCATTGTGGGGAGTCAAAATCTTCATCCCCCTCAATTTACAGAAATGTTTACAAAATAAGACCCTTGAGAGAAAGAAATCTCTTGATATAAAAGAACTAGTATAAAGATAGGAGTTATGCCAGGCTGGGGACATGCCATCAAATAAGTGGTCTTGGCAAGCTCAATCTAGGTTGTATTATGCACAATTCTTCAATCTACTTAAAGGTATACGTAAACAAATTGCAATGTGAATATAATTTGTGGTTTCATTAGAATCCAGGGGAAAAAGCACCTCAAAACGTATATATAGCACTCTGAACACTGAGAGACATTTCACATGGCATTTTTCATTAATCAATTACATTTCATTCTTGTACAGTCCTAAATCACAACAGTAGTTATCTCTGAGGACTTTACAAAACTATTGAATTCGCCAATACAGATCATAAAATCAAGCAGCTCAAAGACAAGAAATGCAATGATAGAAACACATGGAGCCATTTGTTTATAAGCTGAAGTCTTCATGATGACAGATAAAGTAGGTAAGCGGAGAGGATAGTGCTGTTGTAGATGGTGATGGTAATCTATTACTGTAGCCACAGCTGCACTGGACCAGACCGACGGAAGCAAGGTTACGAAATTGTGATTATAAGCTCCTCTGACCATCACCAACCATTCACGCACAGATTAATTTCAAGCAATGTGGGTGAAGGAAACTTGCTATATATCTTTTTGCTTACAGCCACAGCTGCCCCACTGTAGCCCCTTGTTCCCAGAAGTTTCCCATCATCACAGGAAAGAGTAACCAGGCCCTGCTTTCTTCATTTCTGAGATTTCACCTGCCTTTCTTACAGGGTTGTATACTGTATGTGGCTGTCTATAGCTTATCCCTACAGTTTCTCTTGAAAGTCAAAAGAAGTAAGTGGATGTTAAGCATATGCACAGCTATTCACATGAGGAGGGCCCAAAGAACTGGTGCATGTGTGTTGTCTGTACACAAGTGTGCGCATGTGTTTCCTCTGCCCTTTTCAAGTGTGACCACCTGTCTTTTGTTTAGAAATAAATAAATAAACTCCGACCACACACCAGCTGTCTCTGGCAGTCCACCTCACCCAACCACTCAGAGGTCAAGGGCTCCCACCGCTGGCCTTGTTCTTGAGGTTCTTGGACATTCTCAACTTTTCCTGTCCTTATCTCTCTCAACTTCTTTTCAAGTAGCTCCAGGTCTGAAAGCCAAATAGGAGCAGCTCACAGAGGAATGTTTTATTACACCACAGAGTTACACTGCACACTTCTAGACTCGTCACCCTGAAGCTAAGCCCGATCACATGGCTTTGCTGTTTCTCACATGTAAGAAATGCACCAGGATTTCAGTGAGAGCAGATGTGAAAGGTTTCTGCTGAGACCTATTGTGTCGTTCTTAAAGCTGGGGCACCTAATTATAATCGTAATTATTCTATTTTAAATTTTATGCTGATTTTTATTATGCCATACTCTGTTCTTTACCTCTCTTCTTTGACCGTTGCACCGAGCCAAAGCAATTTCCTAGTCTGTGATGTCCTGTTACTTACATGGCAATAAAAATGATTCTGATTCCAACTTTATTTTCTTGTAAAAAACACATGCAGATATTGTTTGATCCAACAGAAAGTGTCTTGTAAAAGTCAAATATTATAGTAAATTGTAAGTAAGAGTCAAACAAGTCACAGTTTGACACTTTCGGCTGAGATTTGAGTTAAGTTGCTTCTCTCTTTTTCACTTTTCTGCCTGAAAAAACTGACCTTAAGATTAAGAGATCCACACAGCACAAGATAAATGGGCGGTACGGTGGCCTTTCTGAGTGGAATCTGCATGTTCTGTGTAGGTTTCCTCCGGGTGCTCCGGTTTCCCCTACCACTAAAAACATGCACAAGGTCTGGCATGTGCCTCCTGTACTGGCGACCCCACTCCCATCTCTGTGTGGAGTGAGTGACAAATGTCCACTACAAATGTGAAGCGCTTTGTGACTCTGGTCTGTGAAAGGCGCTATATAAATAAAGAATACTTACTTACTCTCAACCAAGATGAAATAAAATCTCTATCTTTAGCCTTAAAAAAGCAAGTATACAATCTCTCGCTTTAACATATAATGTAAGAGAATCTAAATCTCCAATTTTAGCGTAATGAAAAAGCAAGAATTAAGTACAAAGTCTTCAGAATTCAGCATAATAACTAAGTAATTATTTTTTTTAAATGTGACAGAAGCCTTAAATACATGCATTGTTTTGATAGCAACTAGTCAGAGATTTTACTGTAGAGTTAATTTTGTGATTTAAAAAGTTAGGTTCTCCAGCTTTAAACTGAGCGACCCCATGAGGACATTGTCTCCTTTATGTGGCAGCAGCCTGTACGACCAGCCAGTGCCGCCGTGTTGTCTGTTTGTGAGTATAAGTACGTGTTGGGGAGCTGGGGGCCCAGACAATGGCCTGGCTTGAGCTACAACCCTCCCACATAATGGAGAGATGAGGCTGAGGTTCTGGGGGCCATGCTCTTTGAAGGGGGCCTGCCAGACCTTTTTTGGGGGGCCGAGCAAAGTGGGTATAGGTGGGGGTATAGTTGGGGAATGGGTGGCCCCCTCTGCACGGCGTTCCCAGAAGAAGGGGTGAGCTGGGGTGTCGGAGGGGGGAGGGTGGTGGGAACATGAGAACATCACGTCGCAGAGCAGCTGGATTGCTTTCATGGTGCAAGCGGGGAAATAATTAAAACTTCTCTCTATTGTAAGTGTCTAGTGAATTGGCAATAACACCCCCACAATTAGACACACATATTTGGAGGGATTGTTTATCAGTAAACAATAGTGAACGAAGGAGATGCAAACTTTTGAAGGGAGTTGGATCAAATAAGATAAGGCTAGTATTGGCAACAGGCTTGGGACAATGGGGGCCCTTCCCCAGAAGTCTGCTCTGTCCTTGAGTTAAATGTTTTTTTTTGGGCTGTAAAACCAGAAGTATTATGACATTGTGTTGTCTGTGTACACACTGCAGAACTGCCGACATGCCGTCTGGTTCACTGCAGCTGCTAATAATATTATAACGTCTAACACAGGAGAGACTCGGAAAACTATAGAATATCGTTCAAAAGTCCATTCACTTCTGTAATTAAACTTACAATGTGAAACTTTTATATTATGCATTACACGCTAAGTGATAAAAAAAGTGTAGATTATTATAAAAAGACTGTCAAAAATTTTAGCGATATTCTAATTTTCCTAGTTCCACCTGTATTTCTGAGTAAGTTTTACCTTGTCTATGTGTGCAAAAATAATATTGTTGAATAAATAATAAGACAAGCAATGCATATATGTTGTTCCATTTAATTCTATGCATCTTAATGATGACTAAATCAAGATTGTCACATTTCCACAGCACACACACAAGCACACTCCAAAGAAAAGCACATACGGTTAAAAGTAAAATGCCACTAAACAATGTCAATTCTGCATAAAGATTGTCTTCTAAATCTCTACACCGCTAACACTGAAGCAATTAATTACTATAAAATAGACTTTTTCTTATTTTAAAAAATTATATTAAATTCTAATGGCACTTCTACAAATTCTATTAAAAGATTTTGTTGGACATTTCAAAAGATTTTTTTTTTTTCAACCTCCAAGTCAAATGTTGCACAAGAAGCAATGATGTAATAAATATTTCATGATTATACACATTTCACAGTTGTAACCTGCAGAGGACATTATTCCAGTCTAAAAGGAGTAATAGATTGGTACAGCGTGGACCTGGCAACAAAACGCCCCCTGCTTACAATCTCAGGAGTTCACATTCAACAATATGAGCTGAGGAACTGAGCGCTCCCAGTAGTATAGACTTGTTTTTTTAGACCAAAACAAAAATATTAAAAATCATTGCGTAATCTCTCCAAAAAGCAGCAAAACCTCCAACTCTACACATGTCCAGAATCGCATATTGATACAATTGTTTGAAACTTCATGGGGAAAATTAGAAAAAAAATAAATAAAAAAAAATAACAAAAATAGGCCTTTTTTTTCCAGATCCTTCACTCCTTCCTTCCTTTTTTCTACAGCAAGGCACATGTGGTGACCATCCTGGAGGTACGGATTAGATTAGCAGACCACTCAAATTGTTAGTTTACTACCTCTTTACAAATGTACACACAACTTTTACCGCTATAAAACAAAACAAAAAAACATGTTCTTGTTTGTTTTGCAACCAAATGATCGACCAAAAAAAACATACAATCAGAGCTTATAAAGACATAAAAGTATTCTAGATGGATGTGCAAGTTAATGCGTGTCATCCCCATAGAAACGATACAGGTTTATTTGCGTCATGCTTGAATAATAGAAGGGGGGGGGGGGTTGTTCTTTCATGCTTCAAACAATACACCTGTTTACAGTCTCCTTGGTCTCTCTTTGCTTAAATACATTTCTCACATTCCAATGGCTCCATTCAATACAGCAAAGTGCAAAGAGAGAAACAGGAGAGCTTCTTTTTTTTCCCCCTTCCAACTTTACATCCAGAGCTACAGCAGAAGTGATACAGCAGATCCCTAGAGATCCACCTGGGACTCTGGGGAGGAGGAGAGCGGGTTGGGGGGGGGGGGGGGGGGGGCAACAATGGCCCGTATTGTCCCACTTCTATAGGTATCCAGTGGCGATCGGTGTGGCTGCGCTTGTGAACACTGCTGCTTCTTCTGATTTGTATTGCGGGAAAGTGAGCAACAACTTTTGAAACTGAAAGAAGAGGGGCCCCCCCAGGAAGACACGGAAACTACAGCGATGGGAGGGGGATGCCGTTCATGTTGCGAGGTGGAAATCAAACTTATCCATAAATAAAGAATATATATATACATTAAATATACAAATAGTACGAAATAGCAGCCTAGGCAATAGTGTTGAAATTATATGCATGCTAAAAACAAGTGCTTCTCTATGACCTGTGTGGAAATAGCTCCCATTCGCTCAAGAGTTTCTGAACACAGCATCAAATACAGTAACTGGATTTGTACACAGAAAATAGACAGCCCCAATACAAGTTAATGAGTACCAAGTTAGCGGTCAAGACACGAGGTCTTTCAAAGAAATAAGAACTAGACTAAGAGTAAACCCTGAACCAAACTAATAAATAAAATCTGATCAAGTCTTCTCAGGAAGATTAGACACATTTCAAACATTTAGTGCTTCACGCCAGTAGGACTCCACGGCATCTGAAACTCTCACGGGCAGCATCAGCAAAGGCCCACTTTCTCAGTAGTCACTTGACACATTCAGCTAGAACTTAAGGTTAATCAGGAGCAAAAACAGTACAGTTAAAAGAATCAACGGCACTTGGCTTTGATTTCTGGAGACGGCACATTATCTGGCAATCCTTCAGTTTTGTTCTACATAAAACTAGTGCCAGGACAAGGCCACTTAATCAGGAAGCAATTATCACAAATCTCACTTTGTCATACATTCTTCAAAATTTAAAAAGACACTTCAGGTCAATTGGCACTGCAGAAGACACCGCTAACCAGCCCGGTCCATATTCAATAAGGTTAAGCAGTCAATGAAGTAAGTACTCTAGATGTGTGGGCAACACTTGACATTATCCTTCTTAAGATTAAATAGCTTTTGATGACCAAATAAAATACAATTTCAGGGAAATGTAGTGTAGCAATATCAACTAATTATAAAAGAGCGTATAAAGAATTATTATCCCTAAATATGCACTTTCCTTCATCAATTCTCATAATTCAAGAAGTAAATTCCTTCAATTCTTGAGTCAGTAGTTCAAGATAGAATAGTTTGCTGCCAAGCCATTTGATTTGACTGAAAACAGATTCAAAAAATAAATAAATAATATTAATAATAATCAATAATAATATAATGCTGGAGTCGTAAATCATGTGACGACTTGTGGACGGTAAAATATCCCATAGACATGAAATCTGACTGTGATGATTGCAATAATCTTCAGTGTTATCACATCGGACGCCCTCACATTACTCTACAGATAGACACCAACAAGACAAACAAGTGCATCATCTGATTTGTTCAACACAGACTTGAATCCAGCTACAAAGTTCACAGCACTCATGTTGATCCTAACAGTCTTTGAGCCTCAGACGGGCCGCCATGACACAGTCCAGCAGGAGGGTTTGAGGGTTTCTTGCTACATCTTTAGTATAACCCAGTGAAATGTACGCTGTAGAAAGTTGTTCAGTAGTATTGACTATTCACTGTCATGGCACAAGTGAGAAGTGTTTATCCAATGGCAAGAGTTTTAACAAGGCCACAATGAAACTTCCTGATGTGGCGATAAAGGTCCCCCGACTGCGTGAAGCGGCGCTCACACCACTTACAGGCGTGAGGCTTCTCGCGCGTGTGCACCACCGCGTGCCGACTTAAGTTATGGGAGTACTGGAAGCTCTTGCCACACTGGCCACAGGTGTAGGGCTTCTCGCCAGAGTGCGTGCGCTCGTGCCGCTTCAGTGTGTACATGCAGGAGAAGGTCTTGTTACACTGCATACAGGTGGGAACGGAGCCATCAGGGGAAAGTTTGGAGCGAGGGCCGTCCTTCTCACGGAAGTGGGAGCTGAGGTGCAGTTGTAATATGTGGGGGCTGGGGAAGACTTTGCTACACAAGGGGCAGATACACACTTGTTGGCCCGGGGGCAGGAGCACCCCGCTGGAAGTGGAGATGTCCGAAGAGGCCAAGTCGTCCTCCTCTTCCTCCTCACTGTCCCCCAGCAGCCGGCCCCTCCTGTCCCCCAGTTTGCAGCCCGGGGCCCCTCTCCCCCCACACACCTCCCCCTCGTCGTCCATCAGGTCCTCCTCCTGGGAGAGAAGGACGGCCGTGGGGCCGTTGTTGCCTGGGAAGAGGGCAGCGAACCCTGTCACCACTGAGCTCCTGGCACTATTCCCAAAGCGCTGGCTCTCGGGGCTCATGGGCTCACTGTCCTCCTGCTCTGACAGCGAGTCGTGTTCGTCTTTAACAAGTGGCTCAGTGCCCTGCTGCTGGCTGTCGAGGGCCAGCTGTCCTGAGACGTAGGAGGGGTGTAAGGGATCTTTGCTAGACAGAGGCTTGAAAGACAAATCCAGTGCACAGTCCATGTCATTTGAAGCTCGGGACCTCTGGGACAGCGATACGTTGGAACTACTGACATCAGCTTTTGTTTTTCCAGCTGTTGGGTGGCAGGGCTCGGCCTCTGCTGACACATAATTGACACCTACAAGATCCGGGGACCTGCCAGAGTGACCGTTCGCCTTCTGCTTGCCCTGTGTGGTCCTGTCATAGTCAGTGACAGGCAGCTTGACTTCGCTGTTGTCCATGTCAAAATCTAGTGCTGCTGGTGCCCTCAGAGCCCCCTGAGACAGAGCGAGTATCTGTCGCCGCACGAGCTGCTTACTGTGCAGCTCACTGTCTGAAGAGTTTTCTCTGTCCAGACAGCTCAGGCCCAAGCCCTCGCCCATCTTCTCCTCCAGGCTCAGCAGTTCCTTATCTTTGAGTTTGCCTTTACACACTTTGACAATGTCATACATGTGCAGGTAACTAGCCGCTGCCAACACATCTTCTACAGGCAGAGTGCTGAACTCCAACTTTCCCTCATACATAAATTCAAGGAGTAGACTGAAAGCCGGGGCAGTCACAATGTCACTGTTGAGATGCACAACGTCCCTTTTGTCTAGCTCGTCCCTGTAGAAGAGATGGAAGTACATGCTGCAGGAGGCCAGCACTGCCCTGTGCGCTTTGAATCGAGCCTCTCCGACAAGAACAGTGCAGTCACAGAGGAAACCTTGGTGACGCTGCTGACTCAGACATTGCAGCAACTGGCGGCTATGGTCCGGGAACTCCATTCTTCCTTCATAACCTGAGGAAAACAGGAAAAACAGGATACTGAATAAAGTCAAGGACGGCCATGTAAAGGGAGATTTAATGGGCACATGTGAGAGAGAACAGACAAACAACTCAATATGTAGAACCACCTCAACTAAAACAATATAATAGAATGTTTAACAAAAACCAACATTTTAGTAATATCCAAGTTCACATATATATATACTCAGTGAGACTACCATAATAAAGGATAAGTTAGGATAAGGATACGTTTTTCCAGAGGTTTCGCTCAATAACCAACCCATGCATTTCAGCGTAAGCGGATCCACTCTCCCCGAGGTCTCCAAACAAGAGAAGCGTTTGTTCCGTCCGTGCCTGTACTTTTTTTCTGAGGGAGAGAAACGATAGACGCGCGCGAGTGTGTTTCTGTGCGCACACATCCAGCCCCTGATGTTTACAGAACAAGCACCGGGCACCGACACTGGAAACGCCAGGACTGGTCACATCAGGAAGGAAAGCACAGAACGCGGAAAAAACGTGCAAAGAAATAAAAATAAAAAAACAGTGTGGAGAGAGTAAACTGGCGCTGTTTGCTAATTACACCGCAAGCTGTGGAGTCAGCTGCTCTGACATCACTGCAATGGAAACGCAACCTCCAGCTGTGCTCTCTTTACGCCATATGTTTAACACTGGGCTAAACGCGCTCCAAAAACACACACGCAGGAGATAATAGATTGCTTCACAACGTAATACTTCACCATGTTTAAAAAACTTTTCGACTCAAAATTCTATTCTCAGGACTCGTGCGTAAAACCAGCCTAGACTACACTACTTCTACTACTACAGCCAGCTAATTACAAAGTTTCCAAATTCGCATATTTATAGATTACTACAGTTCAGATATCAGAGTGGGTGTTTTGATTGCCAAAAGCTGACCTGGATAGAGCTCGTATTAAGAGTGATCGTGTTGGAGGAGCGGAGGAATCGAGTCCACGAAGCGGCGAAAGGGGACAGACGCGTTAACTTTACGCACTTGCATAGAAAACTAGAAAAGAGGGCAAGTACTTACATTTGTCTGCTATTAACTTGATCGAATTTGTCCTCTCTTATCTCCGCTGTTCTTTCATGATGTGCGGCCAGATGTTTAGCTTTCTCCTGCTCTTGTCTTGAGCTGGTTCCGACCCTGGCAAGGCAGAGCTGCACTCCGAGCTGCTGTGTGTCAAGCAGGTTCATAATGGCACAAGTCTCGCGATAGGCCCCCTCCTCCTCTTCCTCTTCCTCCTCCTTCTCCTCTACTCCACCTCTTCTTTATTGCCACTGGCCACATTAACTCTGCACTACTCTGAGGATTCACACAGCGGCAGCAAGTGGCGAGGGAGAGCCAAGAGACTGTAATAAAACACCTGTAAAGAATTGTATACCTTTAAAGCTGGAGTACCTGACTTTTCATTGGTTTGTTTCATAAATACTTTTTGTTTGTTGTCTCTATAACATGCTGTCTCTATCTCATTAGACAAATAATGTTATCTGTGACATCCTGAGGGCTGATTGGCTGAGTGAGGGCTGGTACTCCTTATTCCACTGAAAAAGCTGATCCAAAGATGTGTTTCTCAAATAACAAAAAAAAAACCCAGATGTCTCCGTTTTATAAAATATGTAAACAAAACAAAAAAGTTGTATTCCTCAGGCTACAATGTGTGATTGGGAGTAGATTTCAAAGATTTTGCTCAAGAAGCTCCAAAACTGTATTTGTATATGACACTATATATATGTGTGTCTTTGCAAAAAGCGACTTGGTAAAGGGCAACTTCAAATATTATTCCAATGGCACAGTCTGTATTTTGACAAGACGTGAACCAAACTCTATTTAGGTACCCTAGCTTTTACATTACAGTGCAGGCTGTGGCACTATACCTCTCACTCTTACCTACTATCAATATGTTTTAAAGTTTTTTGTCTAAAAATACCTTGGTTCGGTCGATTTCCTTGAAATTTGGGTTTTTTCCCAGCTACAACGGGGACAAGTCTCTGCGGTGAGGAGAATTGACTGGATATAAGAATTATGGGTTTTGAGCAAAACTAAAAGTTTTTCATATTTTATATTGATACGATCTCCAAGGCAACAAGGAGGTAAAGGACCCACTCAATAACATCAAACACAGTTCACCTTCAAAATAAACTAATCTAGGGCTAATAAGCATGTTCTTTACGTCGGTTTGCATGTTTAGTTTAGTTTAGTTTTTGTTATTTTGACACAGTCAAACCGGACGACAATTGAAGGAACTTAAATGTAACCTTTTTCTTAAATCTTACATTATTTTATAAAACTCATCTAATTGGAAATAGTTCCAAAGTATGGACTTAACTCGATTCTATCATCAATCAAATATGTTTTTGAGGAACACATTTTTTTCCTTATGAAATGACTGATACCTCAAAAATAGGCAGTCCAGAAAATAATGATTAATTGCACAATTGCAACAGAAATTACTTTTATCATACAGTAGGCTGCATTGTGTGTTTGTTGGTTGGGGTGTAGTTTAGAAACAAGGGCTGGAGGGTGCAGCTGCTCCCCTCTCTGCACCCCCATGCCCCTCCCAACCGCCTGGGTCACCTTTGCCCTGTGTTCCAGCTGTCGTGTGTTTTGAAAAGGCCATTTGCAGCTCCTTACAGCCCCATGACACAGAGGGGAATGAGCAAAGTGACAGGAGACTGCAACCACTGGGCCAAAGGGGCACAGGCTGAGATTCTCACTTATATATATATAAATATAAAAATAGACTGGCCATCAGAAGTCAAGTTTTCTGCTCTATTTTCATCATACAGCTGTTTCATGTGCAAAGAATATGCACATAAAAGCACACACACATGGAAGATTTCCTGTTGGCCTCTGTGATCCACGCCGATGCAGAGACCTGGACAAGAATAGGAGCAGTGCTGTGTGTTCTGCTGGCAGCGGTAGGCGCCGTGCAGTAGCCGGGTGGTTTGTGTTCACAGGGCAAGACAAAGCAGTGGTTGTGCCTGGGGACCGTGGCCTCAGAGGCTCAGCGCTGTGAAGGTTCTCACACAGAGAAAAGATAGAGGGAGCGAGGGAAAGAGGGAAAAAAAACACTTCCTGAAGCTTGATTCTTCCTCTCTGCAATCATCAATGGCATTCTCCCCCTGACCCACTCCTCTCACCGACAAACAAAAGGACTCGCATTCCAGTGAAGCCTGACCGGCCAACCAACCAGCCATCCAGCCAGCGCTCAGCCTCAACACATCACTCTTCTGCTGGACCGCTCTGCTCAGGCATAATGTCCCCCTCAGACCGGTGCATGGGCTGTGTGTTTACAGCTGTGTGACAGTAATGAAGGAATTATACACTCTCAAACACACACCATGAGTTATAACGTGTCAACAATGCAACATATTTATACCTTTTATAGCTCTACCTTTATTATGCTGCAGTTTGAGATTTTATTATTTGTTATTGTTCACTTATTTCTTGCAATGTGCTCCTCATTCCTGTTCTGTAACTGATGCAACACGGGTATTTCCGAACTGTGGGACAAATAAAGGATCTCTTCATCTTAATTTGAATAAAAACTGAGTGTTGCGGATAAGTTAACGTAAGTGTATAAACGTGCATTTTCTTACCATTTTATTAACACCACTATATGTAACAACACCATGTACATTGTTTGTGGAAAAATTAGACATTTTTTGAATTTCCCTCCTAAAAAACAAACAATGTGCATATCAGGTGAAACTCAGAAATGTAGAATATCGCTCAGAAGTTTTTTTTTTCTTCCTGTAATTCAGGGCAAAAATGTTGGTCAAAAAAATTATATAGACTCATTACGTGCGAAATTGAAGAAGATGACAAAGTCTGGGATTGCGTCTTTAATTCAGACAGAAGACATGTTTTATTGTCGATGGTAGAGACAGCACGAACAACAGATACAACGGAATGCAAGTGTATTATACAGAGCGGAGGCATGGAGTGGAAAAGTACAGGCTTCTGCACATTGATAGAATGATGAGTTTAACCTTAACAAAAGTTGCTTAAAAGTGTTATGAAATCTCACAAAATGCTAACACTTTTTACGTGTAATAAGTCTTTAGGTTTCACATTGCAAGAGAATTTCCGAAGCAAATGGACTTTTGAACAATATTCTAAATACCTTTCACCTGTGTATGTGTTAGTATTAGATAGCAATATGGCCTACGTGCAGGACTGTACAAGGACTCTGATGATGACTCCATGTTTTGACTATGACGTGACTGTCTCTGTGTGACACGTATGTCTTTCGAAGTGTGACGTAACAATGACTATATAAACTGTGTACTGCCTTTATCCTGTCTGAGAGAAAGAAACAATTGAAACCACTGGAACTTGAGAGAAACTTAAATAAACTTCCAGAGTTTGGCGCACCACGATCCGTCTCTGTCTGGTTTATTCCTGACATATGCTTTGTGTGATATATTTTATTGTTTTGTTCACCACTTTGAGTTGCCTTGTGTGTGAATAGTTTTATACAAATAAACTTGCCTTGCCATGTTGTTATAGATTTTTCTAATGGTTTATCAATAGCCGGCAGGAACAAACATGAGAAAATATGTGACAGTTAAAAGCCTTGCTCTGCTGTTGCTTGGAGATACAGAACCAACTTCCTGGTGGCCCTAAATTTGTACATTTATTGTCCCATGTTCTCTCCATTTCCCCTATCCTTTAAACAGGGCCACTGGGGAAACTGTCTGGAACTGCTGCAATATTGCTTGGGGACCCTCTCCAGATGTTGCTCGCCTTGCAGGACTTAAGCTGGTGGATTTAATGGTTCATGGGTTGATTGGGGAAACAAGTGTCCAGAGAAAACCCTGTGTTCATCCAAGTCAGTTT